AATAAATCATATACATTATAACTAAGTAAAATGCATAGAAAAAGAACCCCTTTACCATTTCATTTATAGAGAGCACAGGAAAGAGACCAAAGTAGCTAATATATTGCAATCGTGATTGGTCAATCTCTTGAAATGAGGTAAAATCATTCAAGCATCACTGGCATTAGCTCAGTGGCCGTTAGCTAATCTGGGGTCTGCAGGTAGCGTTAATAACGCCAAGGACGTGGCGTAGTGAGTGGCTTTAACAACGCCACTGCTTAGTTCACACACAAAGGCGTACGCTACGCCATGCTTAAGCCAGCCTTACGCCGTGTATGTGAACATAGCCATAGATACCCAAACCAACCCTCCTCATTTGGTGCTAGGAGGCTAATTATTCTTGCTTGTATGCTACAGTGGCAGGCTACCAAGTGCTAATTTGCATAAAGGGAGTACATTTTTGTTAAGTTGTAAAATCAAAGTAACTAAAATAGTGAAATGAAATATATTTTCTAGAACTATCATATTATCAACAAATATCACTCTATTGCATATAAAACAGTAAGGGAAAACGTACAATCCTAGATCATGGCTTAGAAGGGGCACACGCAATGAGAAACAATGTAGAGTAAACGATAAAAAAAACAGGAATTTAAAATAGTAAACTGCTATAACAATCCCATTTAGTCAGTTTTTACTACTTTAGGTAAGGTGGATTATCTAGGATGGTTCATTTTTCGTGTAATAAATACTGAAGGAAAAAATTGTAGCAAGTTGAGAGTTTTAAAATTACATTAGAAAATGTGTACTATGATTATGACCATATTTGTAATTTTTTTGCAACTTCCTTTGCTCAGTAACTGGTACTGTTACTGGTACGGGCATTTATAATGCGCCTCTTCCTTGCGGTTATAAAGTGCAGTTCCTTTCCCTAGTCATTGGGTCCACATGCTAAGTGTTGCTGCTGGTAATGAGAGCAGGAGCAGGCAACCCCACCAGTAAGACATAATTGAGCATTGCAGAGCGGATCTCCAATCACAAATGGTGCTATTACTTAATGGCGGACCTTTCCGTTAAGCTCCGCCCCTAGAATATTGCTGCGAAGGTCCCTCGAAACAATAGCGTACTGTAAATGTGCATTTGTGCGACAGTATATGTGCTTGTTGGACAAGCGCGTATTCCTGGTCAGTTGTTAAGTTTGATTTATACTCCAGAAAGCTTCATTACACAGTGTTGGAGATTTTCATGATGTTGTTGGATAATTGGTCTAGCTTGAGAGACACAATTTTTTTTTCCCCTCATAATGCAAAGGCCTTGGCATTATCATTATTTGCTATAAGAGTGTCCTTTATTATTATTAATGTTATTGTAATTATTGCTGTTAAGTCTATTACCTTTATGCTTATATTGCCACACCTACACGTATGAAAACACACACCATCAACAAATAACAATGTGATTAATTTCAACAAAGTGAATTATAAATACTATGTTTCAATTTTTTGGGGTTATTTTTTATTGTTTATAATATTGATGTATTTCATATATTAAATAATACCAAAGCAACATTTCCATTTTGGACTATAAATTATATTGCGTTTATTTTTTAGCATAATTATCAGAATTTTACTGCAATTTATTCCCTGAATCATATTTCACTACGTGTCAGACCTCTATTCTTCACTGTAGTAATTGTAAACTATAGTGCTATTGTGAAATATGTTGACTCAATTAAGCTTTATTATTGTATATATTTAAAGCTTTGTGGAGCTTTACCAAAGTATACATGTTGCTTTAGAGTGAAAACTAAATGAGGAAAACAGAAGTGAATGTAAACTGCAAATTAACTACAGAACCATATTTATTATCCTGTTTCACTTAATACTAATGATAATGTATGTCAACAGCTATCTGTTTTATTACCTTTGCACAATAAAGAAATTTTGAATAGCCTAGTTCAAAAGTGTAATTGATAATAATGGAGAATGCATACTGATCATGAAGACAAAGCTTTTATTGTGCAAAAGTTAATAGGAAATTATATCTTCAATTGGCCTTACTGCACATTATATAAATTACACATAGAAATGAACAGTAATGCATTAAAATATGCATCACATACTATGGTGAAATGTTAATAGAAATTTTTTTTAAATTGCATTAAACTTTCAAAGTGAGTTTTGCAGTCACAGAAAAAAGTTATAGCAATTTCAGATCCAATTTAGCTAGCATTTAAGATAAAATATTAAAACATGATTCTAATTACTTTCTCCTGCATTTTGCCCTAAATTGATCGATAAAAGTATTACACTATTTCCCAGTTGAATTTAACATAAATTTAATATTATGCTTTAAGATTTCTATCAGGATAAAAATTGTTTAACTGTTAATGTTGCCTAGGTAGTATGTTGCCACTGGATTGATATAATGAATTTTTTTTAGAATAAAGATTATGTAAATGTAACATGATGATTAATAGGAATGCAGATCAAAAACCTTGACTTATAGTAATCGTAAAAACAAGTTAATGGTATCTCGTTGATGATAAATAATGACTAATGTATGTTTGTGGTTGACCAATACTCCACTAAGTTTTAGTTCTTAACATGTAACTGGTTAGGCTGTGGTGTAATAGGAAAGGAAAAACATCCAATAATTCTCTTTTGTGTTTCTTTCAGCACCCATGAATTCAGTCCATCTGAGCGTAAATTAATTATTGGCCTCTAATACCAAAAGTCTTGGTGAATATGGCTCATGGGGACTAATACAATTGAGGATATCAACCTCCCCCCGCCTCCCATGTACGGGGTTTATTCTGGAGAGCTCGACAGGGTCAAAATTTAGTGAGGGTTGATATCCCTGATTCTGGTACCTACTGTAATTATATCAAATTATACCAAATAAGAATTATTTGGTATAATTACAGTAGTACCAATTAAGAATTATTTGGTACTACTGTAATTATACCAAATAATTCTTATTCTAATTATGCTTAATTCTTCATGGTTTCAACTCAGTGATTGAACATTCTTTCTTCAATTTCTTATGTATTATGTCCTGGATGGAGTGAGATAACATAAATGAAGTACCTTGTCCTATTGGTCAGACTCAAAGCCCACAGCTTAAGCACTGTACCACACGCTTCCTCCAAAATGAACAAATTCATCAGCTGACTAGCTTGAATCAGATTCCATAGCCGGTCACCACAACTAATAATTTGTATAATTTTGATAGTTTGTTGAGTATTTGTTGATAGTATAATGTGCAGAACATTTATACAGTACTTCAATAAGCCAATTCATAGTTTAAAGTGTGCATGCCTGTATAAAGGTCAATTGACATAAACAACATACACACAACATAGGTTTATGTCTATTGACCTTGGATACCCCTGTATACGTGCATGCGCAGTTCAAACCATGAATTGTCTTATTACATCAAGATTTTAAGAATATGTTGTTTGAATGTTTGGATTAATGACAAATGACAATAACATATTGTACATGTTTTCTTAGCAGTATATCATCCAGAAATCTCTGTGGAAGAGTAATTAATGTCTTTTAACATAATAAATGAAATATAATCGAGCAGTTTGCAATAAACTGTGTTATTACAGTAGATATCTTTTCACTTGAGACATGGAATCACAGTAAAGAGAACAATCAATCTCGTTTCAAAAAACATTTTATATTATGATTTTTATGATTGGACTTGATGTAATAATTTTTTTTGAAAAAAGCTTTTAACTGTAGAGAACATAATATCATTATGTTGAACTAATAAACTTATTTTTAAAAAATAGCAATATTTAAATCACTTATTTTGTATATTTTAGTATAACAATTAGTGTAACAGTTAAGTTTATGTTACCTAAAAAATAATTTTTAACACTTTGCATGGACTCATAAAAGAGGCTAACAGACTATTTAAACATGGCTAATTCCTCCATGATTTAAATATTTTTTTGATGAAAACTAATTTCAGTTTAGCTCAGTCGGCGAAACTGGTGGTAGCCAGTGTGTGTGCGCTGAACCGTGGAGACCTCCTGGGTCCCTGGTTGAATTCCTATCGCTGCTCACCTTGTATTTCAGCTTGAGGGCTAAAATGCAAGTTAGGATAGTGCACCGTCTTTCAGATGAGACGTTTAAGTCGTTGGTCCTGTGTGCATTTATGGCCCATGTGCACGTTAAAGAACGCAGTAAACTCTTTGGAAAAGAGTAGGGGATTGTCTCCCGGTGTACTGCCCAGTCACCACCAGAAGGTCCCCACTGGAAATAAGTCTTCTTCAGACTTCCGTGGGCTATCCTTGGTGTTTACACCAAATAAATCCAATCCAATCCAATTCAATCCATATCTGATTGGACATTAATATTTTGATGATATTATTAATCAAACAATTCAATGTTTTTATTATTAAATTAAATTATTAGATTTTCACACATGCAGTATGGAATATTTTAAGTCTTGAAGTTATTGACAGATTTACACTGGAGTGTGAGTTACTGTATTTGATTGACAACCTTGTAATTTATTTTGGTCAACAGGTATTGTGCTGGTTGCAATTAATCCGTACGAGCAACTGCCGCTGTATGGAGAAGATGTTATCAACGCGTATCACGGTCAAGATATGGCCGGCATGGACCCACATATATTTGCCGTTGCTGAGGAAGCTTTTAAACAACTGACAAGGTACTAATAATTACTGTGAGCATTTACATAAAATACGCTATGGTGTACTAGTTTCACATACACAAAACCTTTTCCACATGTAATACCAGGGATAATACTAATAGTGTTATGACCCCAAGCATGTAAAAGTGGCATGCTATGAGATTTTCAATTGAGTTAGTATCAAGATTCTAATGTTGACAGCACTAAACATTAAAATGTACATAACCAACCTATATAATGATGAATGGTAGGAGCGATGTGTACATAATGCAGGAGTGGTTGAATGCATGCAAGATGTAATAATGCATAATGTAGGAGGTATAATGCTGGGTTGGGAGTGAATGCATATTGCCTAAATGGAAGAATACATAGTTTAGGAATGAAATAGTTGCATAATGCAGAGGAAACATATATAATGTATGAAGAGAATAATGCAAAAGATAGATGAATAGTGCAATTATTTGAACTACTAGGAAGTTTCCTGGTAATCTAATCAGTGGTATAGTTTTGGGGGATTTTAACATTTAACTTGATAAGTATCATAGTACAACACTTATTGATACATTTCAACCAAATTATGATATACATTATATGGTTATTTAATCTGTATGTGTATTTCTTCTTAAGGTTTGAACAGGACCAGTCCATTATTGTTAGTGGGGAGAGTGGAGCAGGAAAGACTGTGTCTGCTAAATATGCTATGCGATATTTCGCGACTGTAGGAGGTTCTTATGAAGAAACACAAGTGGAAAAGAAAGTATTGGCATCCAATCCTATTATGGAGGTGAGTATATCTCAGAGGCTATACCAGTAAACTGTCAGATTGTTGTGTTTACCATATTCAGACTTGACAATGTTTCATTAAACATGGATAAAAGTGTGGTACTGTACTTGTCAAAATTCTTGCTGACAAAGAATTACCCATAATTTGTTCAGTCGCATATATATGGGGATGGGGACATGTGAGAATGCAAGGGCGTACGGTGAAAAATCTAAGGGGGGGGTCGAAACGAAAGCGCAGGGGGAAAGCTGAACTCGGAGCAATTTAGCGAAGCTTTCGGAATTCGCGGGGTGCGTTATTTGTGAGTGAAGCGAGCAACTAGGCTGGGGCTAGGGGGCCGCAAAAGGGGAAAAATTTACGTTTTTAGGTTCTAGTGCATTACGTTCAATACCAAGTCTGACAAAATAGGCCTAATTGTAACCATAGTTTTTGGGCAACACCAGACTATATTCACTCAATATACCACCAGCCTATTGGATTGCGGAACTCCTGAATACGGGCCTGTGAGCATTTCAGATTAAAGAATTTAAAAAAAAATGGGGTTTTTTTTCTTTTTTGTGGGACCGTCCCACTTTTAATTTAAAAAAAAAATAAAGTTATAAATGTATATACTGTATTGAAAAATAAACAATGATATAGGGAACATATAATTACTTAAAGTAACGTTTTGTATGCGTTTATTTCTTAACGTTTTCCTTTCAATTTTATATTTTAATATGTTTCTTTAACTTAGTTTTTCTTCATCGTTTTCCTTTCAATTTTATATTTTAATATATTTCTTTAACTTAGTTTTTCTTCATCGTTTTTCTCAATAACTAATACTTAAACTATGCTTTAGATACTAAAGGTAATTTAACATAATACCTAATATTTACATAAAAAAATAAATAGCTCTTTATTTAAAGATCAAATTGTTATCATTAATTTTCCGATACGTCATGCATCGTTTTGCGTCTTCTCTGAGTTCCTTTTCTTTTATTTTTCTTCTACTCTCTTTATTTGGCATTTTTATATTCCGAAAAAATAATCTACAGTATTCAACTACCTCACGTGAAAACCTCACATCAAATAATTACATCGCCTTCGGTTTTGCGTTGCGCGCGAATAGATTATTTTGCTGCACGGAAAACACGCAGCTACAGATAACAATAATGGCAGAGTGCAATGATGCGTAACCACATAACACAACTCTACTGGCACGCGGGCTTCGAGATATCAAGTTGATTAAAAATGTATAACTTTATATGGATTGTTTAAAAAATAGACAAAAAATCAAAATATTAGGCCTAAAAGGAAAGGCCACCAAACATTTTTTAGGCGAAGGATAATTTATTTTGATATTAACTACCTTCATGTTAGGCACAGTTTAATTATGCTAGATTTGAAAAAAAATCATATTTTCACTTTCTTTAAAAGGGCACCCATCGACACCCCCCCCTAACGGTACTCCCCGGGAATGCCACTGCAGTGGAAAATCACTCCATATCCTTATTTTACTTACACCCCCTTTCACATTACTCATCAAGCCCTACACTTAATCTTCATTCCCCTCCATCAACCTCCCTCCCATATCAATACTTCAAGACATATCACTGAATTTGTTTGGTCATGTATGCCTATACAAGCATACTGTACATAAAAAAGGTCTGGCTGTCTGATCAAATTTAGCTATATGATCAAACTTTATCTGTTTTTTCTGGCATTTGGCATATTGAAAGTGTATGTCTGGCGTTTGAAACACATGAAATACATTTTTATTTGTATCTGTATTTGAAATTTTCTAGATAAATAGCATCATTAAATTTTATATGATGAGGCAATTTTATATCTTTGTTTGCATTTTCTAATGAAAAAAGTTTTTAAAAATCATGCATGTTTCTGAATAGCAAACTTGTTTGATATCATAACTCTGTCTATTTTTTTAGAGATTGCAGATTTTTCTGAATACTGATTAAAAGTTAACCAATGAGCAAGTAGTATTCATGTCACTAATAGCCAGATTAATGGTGCCATGGCAACAGCATTAACTATATTTAAAGATGTTTGTTGCGTGTGTGTTTTTTTTTTAAATAATTGATTAAGGAAATGTTCAGCCATATGCCTTCGGCTTGAAGCATCAACGTTTGTTTGTATTCCTTTCCCACAGCTGCCATTGCCTCATAATGATGATTTTGCAACTATAAGAGACTACTATACACAATATACTTAGTATTGATATTTACGAGACATTTCCTTAATATTGTGGGTGTTTTCATTCAAGATAAAGTTTGAGTTTAGACTTGAAAGGGTGATGTAGTAAACATCCCAAAATTGAATGGTAGCTTGCTGACTAGATCAGCATGCTAGTAGCTAAGTTTCTACCAAGGGAGCTGGTATAGTCTAGAAATCAGGCAGTTACGGAAGAGACTTTTAAGTCGTTGGTCCCGTGTGCATTATGGCCTGTGTTCTGACAACTTCTCTTTAGTAGAAATCATCAAATATATTCATCATTAAAACAACCATCAGTGGTAATCAAACTACTAGTACTAACATCAATTTGTTAATCTTACATGATCTTACATCGCATCGTGTGCTTAATTGAATGTGTATGTGTGTTTTATGTCCCACCACTGATGTTTATGGCAATGGTGGTGATGATAAACAATCAGGAGGGACTTCATTGACGTTAAAAATACACTAAACACAGCCAGACATTTTTTTACAACAGCACTATGGACAATATTTAAGAAAGCATTTCACATCATCAGTGTGATGTACAGCATGATGGTGGTTATTGCTGTTCGTTATACTAAACATATTTTTGTAATTAAAATGGTTTAACTATGTTCCTCATAGGTTTACATATGGTTCATCCAATGTCATCCAGTGTCAAATTAAAGGATTTTCTGAAAAGTGGTGTACAGGTCATGTATTGTATTTAGCTGAAAGTTATTTTCAACTATCATATATGTATATAATGAACATGCATGAGCAAAATAAAAATACCCTATTCCATGTTGTTTCGGAAATATAGCCCTTCAAAGTTGGGGTAGTTTAAACTTGATTATGCGCAATTCGCTTTGTTGAATATTTTGGGTTCTGCAATTAAATAGCTGAACCTATGGTACAATAACCATCTGCTAACATTTCTTTTCATTTATATTCAATCAATAATTTTATGGTAATAAATATTCCCTTATGTTTAAGATTAAAAGTTAAACTTTTATTTGAACAACACAGATAGCCTTTAAGCTTGTTTTTCATACAATCGCTACACACTATCGCTGACAGCTTTCTGTGATGCTGATCGGTTGGTAGAATCGGGAAGCCTTCCCGATTGCATCGTGGACTGCTACGCAATACAGCGTTTACACGTAAAACACCGTAGAAACAGTGTAGCGATTGTAAGAAAACCAGGCTTCAGTCTAATGGATAATTCATAATATTAATATTTTTAAAACAGTAATGTTGGTCTTATGTCCTCAGTGGCCTTTTGATTATTTCCAGGTTAATTTTTAATACAGTAATATTAATAAAATACCACAATTATTTTATTGATACTGTTTTTTTAGTTTTCAACTTGTGAGTTGGCTTACATTATACAATGTGTGTGCTAATTAAATATTCAGATATTCTATAATGCTTGGAAATCATTTTGCGAAACAAAACTGAACTTAAGTTCTATTATACTATATTATATCTACGAATTCCTGGCAACAACAGTCAGTTGAAATTTAAGCATATTGAAACAAATTGAACTCTCACCCTGTAAGTCTAGATTTTGAGGTCAGGATGAACAATGAGGGCAGTGTTGCGTGTAATTACAGGAACCTGGCGACCACCTCTGACGGTTTAATACTATTACATTGGGATTAATTTCATAAACCTGAAATGTCTCTCAACACACTAACCTAAAGTAAAAAGCATTATATTGGAATAACAAGAATATCAAGTATCATGTAGCATTGAATTCTAGATAAATTATTTATCATAATGTTAATGTTTAATTGCATTGCCTGGGTCTATAAAAAACTATGTTTGGAGTTTTGCTTTCAGGGAAGCTAGCTACAGTATGACAGTAACAGCTCATGATTCAAATTTAAATTGATGTTAGTCAAGTGCTTCTAAAATCTTGCTTTATTTTTCTTTACTGATTATACTTATGTTATATAATATATTTATTTAAATTACTCTGATATTAATATGAATTTAAATATTTTAGTGGTTGATAGGAGGGCAATATTGATGGGTATTGTGATAATTATTCATATCATTATTTTCATCAAAATTGTCATTATTACATAGTATTACAGCTATATTTTATTTTATTTTATTTTTGTTTTTAATTTTTTTTCTTTTTTGTCATCGATACAATCATTAAAAAATTGTCTTTTACATTGAGTTCACTGCTGCTCAAAAAGACATGTAAAAATGGTAGCATTGAATTACAAATACTTGAGCACTAATTGCAGTAGATATATATGCACATTATTATTACAAATAACTAAATAAATATATTATTCAGATGGATTTAGTTTTGGTTTTTGTTTGATTCATTAACAGAAAATTTAATTTTAAGCTCCTTGAGTAATATTGCTGTAGATATCTGCAATTTTATAAGTCGTCCTATTGTAATTAATTATTGTTATAATTTGTTCTTTATTTTTGAAATTATAACAATAATTAATTGTTATAATTTGTTATTATTTTCATCAAAATTTTCATTATTACTTATTATAGTTATATTTTATTCTTGTGTTTTTAATTTTTTTAAATTTTTTTTTCATCGATACAATCATTATAAAAATTGTCTCTTACATTGAGTTCACTGCTGCTCAAAAAAACATGTAGCATAAAAATGGTAGCATTAAATTACAAGTACTTGAGCACTAATTGCAGTGGATATATATGCACATTATTATTACAAATAACTAAATAAATATATTATTCAGATGGATTTAGTTTTGGTTTTTGTTTGATTCATTAACAGAAAATTTAATTTTAAGCTCCTTTAGTAATATTGCTGTAGATATTTGCACTTTTATAAGTCATCCTATTGTAATTTATTATTGTTAAAATTTGAAAAATAAAGAACTATAAAGGTAAAGGTAGGATAATAACCCATAACTCACAGCATCATTGTGTTGAATTAGATTAGAAAGTATACTATTCTCAATAGGAAGTGGTTTTGTTTGGTTCTCCATTGATTCAAATCATGCAGAGTTTGTAGTATTACTTGAAATGAAACATACAGCCCTTGAAAAAAAAATGTTTGTGTCTCCGATCATGAAAACTATCTCGATAAAAATGCTTTCAGCACCAAATGTTATCTGTACACTATATAGCCCAACAGTTTTTTGTTTTTTTAATTGTTTTCCCCCAAAACAGGGGTGGCGCCAGAGGGAGCTGGGGGGCTATATCCCCCATCGGGGAAGGCGATAAATTTTGTCGGGGAACAAACAAATAGAAAAAAATATTTACATCACAACATTTCATCACAACAACAACCACAATAACAATAATAATAATAATAATAATAATAATAATTCAATGAGACTAATTAAAAATAATTTGCGTTCTGCTATGACAAATGCTCATTTAGATAGCCTCATGATGGTTGGAATACATCGTGATAGGTGAATCAACCTCGACCCTGACAACGTGGTTGACAAATTTCATGCAGAATTTCCAAAATATAGAATTTCACTTTCAAGAATGAGGATTTGAAAATAAATTAGATGGTTACATTGCATAATCTTTGTTTCTTGCTTTATTCAAAATGTTTTGGTTTTGGAAGCTGATGTCAACATTAGAAAGCAGCCTACATGAAGTCATATTATAGTAACTCGATGCCTATCAAATAAGTAATAAAAATTCGCCATAATTCATCAAATATCCGTGGCTTCCAGGGGGCTTCGTCCCCTGGACCCCCACCGGGGCCCTAGGCGGGCCCCTGGCCCCCAGCCAGGTGAGACTTGATTCGCTCTACTAGCCCCTCCGTCGGGCAGGTCTTGGCGCCACCCCTGCCCCAAAATGCCTCTGAGACATATATGTTGCCTCCGACTGCTGGTTGCACACACTTTTTTAAATCCATGGTAACACATAATGAAGACATAATTTGATTTTATCTTACAGTCAATTGGTAATGCCAAGACAACCAGAAACGATAACAGTAGTAGGTTTGGCAAGTATGTAGAAATCAGCTTTAACAAATCGCATCACATCATTGGGGCTCACATGAGAACGTACCTGCTGGAGAAGTCCAGAGTTGTCTTTCAAGCATCTGAGGAGAGGAATTACCACATTTTCTACCAACTGTGCGCATCCACAGACCTACCAGAATTTAAGGAACTCCAATTAGGTAAGCCTTTTAATTACTCAAGTCTGTTGATTCATCGATGTGGCTAGAGGTTGTATGTCACATCCGCAGGCATGCTCTCACCAGCTGGTTTTTTATGTATACCTAATATAACCGAGTGCCCGAAGTATGTAAGATTTTTTTTTTTTAATTTGTTTTGCAAACCCGCTGCATTCTTCTTAATTTTTTATCTTGCTTACCAATACCATGAACTCTCCTTTTAAAATAGTTTAATTCATCCCACAATTAATCAAATAGAAGCATTGATTGAGAGAGCAGCTTAGCTCAGTTGGCTAAACTGGTGGTAGCCACTGTGTGTGCGCTTCAATAGTGCACTGTCTTTCGGATGATGCTTTTTAACCATTGGTCTTGTGTGCAGTTTGGCCCATGTGCACGTTAAAGAAAGCAGTAAACCCTTCGGAAAAGAGTAGGGAACTGTCTCCCGGTGTGCTCACCAATAACCACCAGACAGTTGCAGAATTTTCCAACAAAATGAAGGCAGCAACTGAATGGAAAAAATTCAGTCCAATTTACCGAACTGTTTACTATTGCGATACGTTCTTGAGTGATAAATAAAGTGTGCCATTTCTGAAGTTCACACACACACAAAAAAAAGTCAAATTTGGGTCTTTTTTTCAATGAAATTCAGTTAAACTAGCGATTTCATTATTTTAAAAATCTTTTTAACGCATGTAAAAATCAGACTTTTCCTTAAAAAATGAAGTTTTGCTGAGACTAGAACTTCATTAACATTTTGGAATTACTTGAATTAAGACTACATCAACTTCCTATGAGAAAATCACCATTATTGATAATATAACCAATGCCTTACTATATTTTACATTATTATTCTGCATAATAGTGTGCAGTGTGTGCTAATACCTGAAAATTATTTTTTTTTAAATTCCATTAAAAATATTCAATTTAAAAGGATCAAATAAGATATAAATGAGACGTGGATCAAAACAATTAATTTTTTATTGCATCCTTTTTACTAGAAAAATTCTTAATGTGATTGCTACCCTACATATAAAAAAAATAATAAAGAAATTATATTCTTTATCTGACGAATATATTGTTTTCCTATACGAAGTGAAACAATACAAATATTTAATGTGTTATTATTAAAGCTTATCTCAGCCAGGACAATTGAACACAAGGATGCTTTTATCCACGTGCCAACACAGCTCCAGCTTACAACCCTTTGATCCTACCTCTGACTATGACAATTTACGTTAGTTGCGAGTACAGCCATTAATTACTGATCTGCATATTTCATACAGTTTCTTCTTCTTTTTTTTTTTGGCTACTGAAAAGGTTTTTAGATAATACAAAACAATGCATGGTGTCTGTATTCATCAGTGCTGTCATTTGGTCAATGAACTGAAAATACATGGATAAAAATTTTGATTCAAATAGTGTAAGCACAAAGGCTACCTATGTAATAAAATATGTCCATCTACAAATTTTATCGACAAGTCATGCGCTATCCGATATTAGCCAGGCATTTAAAAGCAGCCACAGTAATACTTTTGATTTCTTGAGATCAGTGTCCTTAGTATTAATTGCCTTGGCTCAATGGATTCAGGTATCTTGAATATGTGAAAATAATCATTTGTAATTTTGTTGTTTTGAAATAGTGAGCTGTACAGCTAGGGATAAGATTAGGAATTATTGGTTGTAATCATAATTATTTATAATAGTTACTTGTATCACACTTTATATTATTAATTACCTCCACACTAACTAGAGACAGGTACAGTATCACAGAAGAGTACATGTGAAAATAATGAATTGTATATGGATTCGTTGATAAAGGGCTGAGCTTATACGACTACTGATAAGAAATCTCATTAATGATTTTTGGTTATACTATGAATATTTATAATGATTACTTATATCGCAATATTATTAATTACTTGGCACTAAATTCAAATAGATATCAAAGAAGAGTATGTACTATATAAATTATGTGTAAATAATGAGTTCTATGTCATTTTGGTGTTGAAGACTGAGCTTATATAATGAATGATGAAAATTAGTGAATGGTCATAATTATCATTATTTATGAGATTATTATCACATTTGCATAATTTCAGCCCAGTCAGATTATTAAATTTTATGTGACAAAAACATGTGACATGCCTAAATATGGTCATGATGACATCACATCATATGACAATATATAGGCACATCATGACTATATATGGGCATACAACAGGTTTTTTTTACTATGAAAATTGATTATCTAGACAGAGCTTAACAAATATGTTTCAAAGTTAATGCAAAACTATTGTGCTAATGTAAATTAATGCGAACTCAATGTTTGTGCAATATTCAAAATAATTAATAAACCCTGCATTTTCAATTAATGCTTATAACTTATTGATGAAGTAGTGTTTCCAAGTAGATAATTGTATTAAACTTAGTATTGTTTTTAATTTAATTAATAAAAACCAATTGTTCCAACTTAATTTTTGTTTTTATTTTTGCAGGCGATCCAGATGCATTCTTTTTTACAAATCAAGGGGAAGCGCCAGAGGTGGTGGGGATCAATGATAGACAACAATTAGAAGATACCAGAGATGCATTTCAGCTTGTTGGTAAGCAAATATGGTCATTTAAATTTTGTTGTTATGTAATTTTGTAAATCATATGAGGATTATCATCGTTATGATGTTAAGCCTGGTTTCCATAAAATTTTAATTTAATCATTTATAGATTATAATTTATACTTGATTGCATTGAATATAGATTCTATGGTTTCCATCATTATCATCATCATTAGGACCCTGAATTTGGAAGGCAAGCATCTCAAACACCAAGCTACACTATACTTCAATACTATATGCATATAAAATATACTATAGAATTTTAATACATTTTATCATAGCATTGATATAATAATTGTAAAATATACTATAAATATTAAATAAAATGGATAAAAATCTATATATATATACAGTACTCTTGCATTTCATTATCAACCAAATTGTTGTACCCTAGCTAGCTTTTCTGTGCACATTCCTATCTCACAAGCCGCCATCTTCAAAGAAACATATGGTTGTCATTTACTAATATTGTGACGTCTGTCAAACCAAAACAATTTTGAAATGTGATTGTGAGCTATGCATAAAATAATAATCCATTCAAAGTCCTATATCATTAAACTTAACCTAGTTTTGATATAGTATGCATAAAAAAGTAGAACTAGACCAAACTTAAAGAGTGGTTAGAATTAATGTGTTTAAATTAACCAGATTGCATCTTCTGATTCTTACAGTGCACGTCTCCATACTGGATTAATCAAATTATAGCACATGAAGAGAATCCTTAACAAATATTAAATACATCATGTCTACCATGAATTAAATACATTGTACATTTGAACTGTCAACCATATATTGGATATATCAAATTATGTACATCAGCTTCTATAAAATTTACTCGTAAACAAATATTAAAACTAACTGTATCAAATCCACCATTGAACTGTACTTAGTTTGTAGAATTGGTTCATCGATAATAAACCACACAAAAAATAGTTTGTAGTACATTCGAACTCTCAACCCTGCCATAATTAGTACTAGGACTGTTTAAACTGGGATAAATGAATAAAAATATGAAGTCTTAAAATTCTTAGACCTGTTTGCGTATTGCAAGGGCTTAGCCAGCGAGCCGTCCGGCCGTCTTTTGGACGGCCAACAATTATTTTTGACGGCCACTTTTACCAGGACGGCTTGACCTACTCAGCTCGGCCTAATCTAGTTGGGCCTGGTCTACCTTTAACCAATACCACCCACCCCACCTCTATGCGACAAGCTCTTGGTCTTCCATTTTGGACGGCCTATTTCTTTATCCTGGCTAAACCCCTGGCGTATTGTTACTTTTGACCACTGGCATATGTCGTGATTCCGCTAAGTCCCGCATTTAGATATATTTTTTTGTGTCAGATTTGTGATAAGTGATAACAAAATTGTAATATTTTTTTTACAGGAATCAGTGAAGAAACCCAAATGTCCATATTCCGTGTCGTTGCAGCTGTTCTCCATTTCGGAAACGTAGAGGTGAAGCCTGAACGAGGTGACAACAGCTCAATTGAGGTAGGCACACTTTCAGTATTTCCGTATATCATTTAGTTGTAATGAATGTAGCAAGTCATATGAATTGAATGTAGTAAGTCATATGAATTGAATGTAGCAAGACATAAAATGAAAGTAGCAAGTCATATAAAATGAATATAGCAAGCCATATAAAATGACTAGCAAGCCATATGAAATGACTAGCAAGCCATATGAAATGACTAGCAAGCCATATGAAATGACTAGCAAGCCATATGAAATGACTAGCAAGCCATATGAAATAGATGTAGTAATCCATGTGAAAATGTAGCAAACCATATAAAATGAAAAGCAAACCATATGAAATTAGGTTGAATAAATTCATCTCCTAAAGTGTACATGAAAGTAATGTAGCAGGTCATATGAAATTAATGTTTTAAGTCATATGAAATGAATGTAGCAAGCCATATGAAATGAATATAGCAAGCCAAATAAAATGAAAGTAGCAAGCCATGTGAAATGCATAGCAAGCCATATCAAATTATAGTAGTAACAAGCAACATAAAATATGAATGTAGCTAGTCACATGAAATAGTGGTTAAATGCTAGAAACACCTTTGCTGTTTTGTGATTGAATTTTCGTTGTTTAAAACGGTGATAATAATGAATAAATTTTTTACTTTTTTTTCTTTTTTTGTGCAATGAATATAGAATTGATTGAATTCTCTGATTGTATTAGAAGTGCTCTGATTATTTGTTATTAACTTTTCGAAACGAATTATGAAAGTACAGTACTAAAAAATGTATTTGTTTTATGTGAATTAGTATGTCAGAGTGTGGGTGCTGCGTGAATTAATATTAATGCATCTCCCTTATATCATGGTTGAGGTTTTCTTGACTAAATAGTTTATTTTGATTTGATGATTAGCTAAAGGAATCAGAGCTCTGTTACTTGGAGGCAAGTGGAATACTAATCACATTGCTTATTACAATTTATCACTTCTGTTACATTGCTTTAAACACCAACGTGTCGGTAAAAACCATTCTTGAACTCCACTTTTCTTATTTATAATTTTATCAGGCTTTAGATCATTTTCTTTTCATTCTTTTTTACTAGTATTTTTCTAGCCCTTTTCCAGTCTTTTTTTTCAATCTCTATTCAATCTTTTTTCAGTCTTATTAGATATTCTATTCCTAAAATTCAATTAGTGATTCAACATTTATTAGTAATTCCACAACATTTAATAAAACAGACATTTTTTTTAGTAAAACACTAGCATTTAATTAAATTTTTTTTAAATGCATTTACTATTTTAATTAAATGCAATACATTTTATTAAAATAACATTAAATTAGTATATCAACAACATAGAATTAGTAAATTTTAGATTCATAATATTATTTTCATAACATTTTATAAGTAATTAAACATATTTCATTATATCATTTATTTTTCTCTTTCTTTATTAATTTTTTGTTCTCTGTTATAATGCAATTTGCCAACAACTATCAATACCATTACACAAGTGACAGCACCAGTGCAGGGAGATCAAGAGCTCTGTCTGACTAAATGAAGTTGTTTAAAAAAGAATAACCACCACCATGGCCCCGCTGTCTTCCACTGGTTATACCCCATGACACACAACTTTTCCCTCTGTATACATACTGTATCTTTGAGCCACCACCACATTGCACTAAACACTAGCAATTACCTCTTAAACAGTACTTAGAAAGAGAGAACAGTTTATATTAGTTATGAAATTTGCTTTTTCATTGTTTTCCAGGCTTTTTGTATTAGATATTCCATAGTACATTTTCAGTTTCTTGCAATGCTGAAACAATAGAACAAATTAGAAATCAATTGTAGAAACAGAAGCATAGTTTATTAGAATTTTTGCTGTTACATTTTCTCCTTAGTGCTTTATCCCCTGCTTTACCATTTCTACACATATTCATGGCAAAGATTTGTTGTAGACTCTGGTATTAACATATATCATTTGAACCATCTTTCAAGATAACACAGCAGATTATCATATGATGATGTTGCCTGTTGCCGTGGCAATAATTGATTAGTTGAGAATGCAGTGCTGAAGGATACTGTGTTTCACTTGCCTCTGATATCATCACACCAGCAAAACACACATTTCATGAACATTAAAACACAATTATTAATAAATTATTCCTCATTTTTGAAATATTTTTCTTTTAAGCAGTCTATTAAAGTATAACAAGTAATTACTTATTAAATTACAATTACTTAATTCTTAAAAATAGAATTAAAAACTGGGGTACAAATTGTTTATATTATTCATCAACCTATATACATGGATTTTTATATTTTTCTGTCTCCTTCAATTTTAAAATTCCATGTTACTATATTAGTGTAACTACAAAACCAATGACAACAAAAACAATCAGAGGTTTGCAATCTATTACCTATACACCAATAAAAATTTTTGCAATAATAATGTTTGTTTGCTGTGACATTTAAGAACAAGTTAATTGCTGTGTGTGTGTGCTGGCTGGGAGGGAGGGGACAGCTGTGTGTGCTGGTTGTTGGGAGGACACAGCTGTGTGTTGTGGTTTGGAGGGGATAGCTGTGTTAGTTTGGAGGGGACTGCCATGTGTGGTGCTTTTTTTTTTTTACATTCAATAGTTCATAGCATCCTGATAGTTTAAAGTCAGTAGGTTTCACCCTTTATATTTTTAGGATTTTTTTATACATTTCTGGTTGATTGGAGCAGAGGAGTTTACTTATTCCAAATTGTTGACAATAACCCAGTCTAGGTCCCTGCAGAAACATTGCTTAAATTTATACAGTATTTCTATAATTATATTAGATGTTTTTTTCTTTGTTATTATAGTTATTCTTTACCACTACATATTTTCTTTTATTTTCAGAAGGAGAATGAAAACATTGGGATCTTATGCAAACTACTTGGTATCGACGAAAGCCAAATGAGAAAATGGCTTGTGAATCGTAAGATAGTAACGGTCAGAGAAGTTTTAACCAAACCATTACCATACCAGCATGTAAGCACCAACCTTGAGTTTTCATGGTTAATAATAATATAGTATTTATGAGGTTCCTTTCCAAAAGGTTAAAGCACTATACTTAAATGAGAATGTTAAACTGTAGAATCAAAACCAAAGGGAAAAAATATATCGCTCCAATTACAGTTGCCACCTACGGGACTTACCGCCATCTCTGCCGATACTTTTGCTGTTATTGCTGGTGACGCTAATACTTCTATGGCCATAAATGCTACTGCCGGGGCTGCCATCGCTGCTACCACTCCCACCGAAGATGCTATTGCTGTACTACTTTAAATAATTAAAAAAAACAACACAACATAGGGCTACAGTATCTTTAATGGTATATGTCTATTGTAAAATATCAAAAATAAAAAAATTCAGTCAAAATACAAAAAAAATCAAGAATACCTGAAGAATTAATATAAAAATTTAAACTGGTTATTTCATGATAATAGTATGTTAGAGATATAGAGCGCTTCATGCCAGCCAGCGCTTCACATTATTATTAGAACAAGCTGTGTCAAACTGTACTATATTATACATTTAAAAAAAATTAACCTTTAACCCTATAACCATCATCAATTTTGCAACCAAAAGGAAAATACAATCTTTATTTGGAGGCCACCACCTTTAAAAAGAAATTTATCTAGCGGTCTAATTTAATAATTATAAATGTTTTTCCATTTTAGGCATTAAATGGTCGTGATGCACTGGCCAAACACATTTATGCACAGCTTTTCAAGTGGATAGTAAAACAAGTCAACAAGGCTCTTGTTCCAACAATTAAAGCACAAAACTTTATTGGAGTCCTTGATATCTATGGGTAAGCTGCATGTTCATTAAAGTCAGGCTCCAGAGGAAAAATTTTTTTTGATATGTTGTAGAACTGATTTTTCTAAGACAGAAAAAAGTTGTTTGACTAAAAACTGGAGAATGGTGAATGGGATACAGATTTTTTAAATATTAAAAAAATCTGTATCTCATTCACCGTTCCCCGTCAAACAAATTTTTTCTGTCTTAGAAAAATCAGTTCTACAACATATCAAAAATTTTTTTTCCTCCGGAGCCTGACTTTAACATTGAACGTTGTTCTTGATTTACATAGTCGATAAGTAAGATTAGCCATTCTTGTTTAAATATGATATCCATTGATACCGTACTGTTAAGGAGTTATATTCCTTTTTCCCAATCAGTACATAATCATATCGAGTGTCTCAGAATCAGACGGTTGACGGCAAATATTTCCATATTGTTCAATACCTTGTTGTTTTCTTTACTTCTGATTTATTAACCTTTTGCTTAAAATTCAAATGAAAGTCTCACTGTCTCCCTCTTGCCAACTTTTCTTCAATTTCAATTTTTTTACCAATCTCAAGTAAATTCTGTTTAATCATTTGGTTTCTCTCTTTTTATTTTGTAGGTTTGAAATGTTTGATATAAACAGTTTTGAGCAGTTCTGCATAAATTATGCAAATGAAAAACTACAACAACAGTTCACACAGGTAAGTTCTTCATAACTACGTACTTAAAATGACTGAGCGTTTTTGCAAACGATAGGGATTATTAGCGCATCTATTAACTGGTGAGAAAAATATTTTGTAAGTTGGCAAAACTGGTGGTAGCGACTGTGCATGCGCTAAACTGTGGGAATCCTTTAGTCTTGGTTCAATTCAATTCGCTACTCTCCCTGTGTTGTAGCTAGAGGGATGAAATGCAAGTTTCTACAGCGCACCGTGAGACATTTAAGCCGTTGGGCCTGTGTGTAGTATGGCCCATGTATACTCTTTAGAAGATGTTAGAGGATTGTCTACTAGTGTAGTGTCCTTACAGTATGTCCTTAATATGATATGGTTAATTTATTTTTGTTTTTGCAGCATGTATTTAAACTAGAACAAGAGGAATATATCCGTGAAAAGATTGAATGGAACATGATAGATTTCTATGACAACCAACCATGTATAGATCTGATTGAAAACAAACTTGGAATATTGGACCTACTGGACGAGGAGTGCATGGTAGGTACTGATAGAACTTATACTATGTTTACATGGACTACTCTAATTGGGAACATAATCTAGATTGCCATTACTATTACTATCCATTAGATAAATAAATAAATATTGTGACTAACAATATTCTTCCTTTCAAATATCAGGTGCCCAAAGGGAATGATGATAATTGGTGTCAGAAACTATATTCTCAACATGTTAAAAAATCAAAACATTTTTCCAAACCTCGGACATCAAACAATTCGTTTGTGGTGCATCATTTTGCTGACAAGGTTGAATACACAGCAGAAGGCTTCGTTGAGAAGAATCGTGATAATGTCAATGACGAACATTTGAATATTCTTCGTGCAAGTCAGGTAAATATATATATCCACTAGATATGAATTGGTCATATATATCAAGGTTCTAAATTAGGTGGTAATTTGAATCATATCTGATGGTTTAGCATAAAACAAGGCCGTGCAAAATCGTTGAGCGGCTCATTTTCTGATGGTTTTGACTTAAAAGAAGTAATCTGAAGTCATTATGCAAGTCGTTTCTTTTGGTTTTAGCATAAAGAGATCAGTTTTGATCATGAATCATATAACATCAACTACATTTTTTTGTAACAATTTTGAGGTTTTAAGAAGTGCAATGCTGTAGTTGTTTTTTTATTAATTTATTTATTTATTTATTCGTACTAACCAACAGCGATAACAACCTCCACTAACAGGTTAAAATACATATAAAATATTTATGTAAATAGATATAAAAATACATTTAAAAATTCTAACAACTTTTGATTTAAAAACATTAAAACAGTCAAAAAAATATTAATATCAATATGTTTAATAGAGTTCAATGTTTACATTATGATTAAATAATTTAACAATACCAATGATGTGGCCAACTCATCCTGCTGATTATTTTGAGCTCTCAACTAATTAAAATATCTTTGAAAAAACAAAATTAAAATAATATGGCTAATTACAAGCAATACAACTGAGTACACTAATCATTTTATTAATCTTGTTACTCTTGCAACAAAGACTTACTAATAAGGTTTCTCTGTAAAGCATTGAAAAGAAATTTATTTATTTATTGCATCAAACAATGTGTAAAACACTAATAATTATCAGGATGGAAATAAAATACAATATATTATCATAATTTAAAATGTAATACAATTAGTTATGATAGTATATAGTGACAATTTTTTCTATGTTTGTAAACCCTTAGTATGAGTTTGTGGCGGAGTTGTTTAGAGATAAGAATGCAAAAGTACAAGATCCTAAGAAAGCTGTAGTAAAACCAATGGCTGCAGCTGTACGGACTCAGAAACAATTCAAAAAGTCTGTAGGTTCCCAGGTAAGTGGAAATTCATGTGGCATATATTTTATGTATATAATCTTATATGTGCAAGTTAAGATTATTATAATTAAGTTTTTTTTTTTTAGTTTATTATGGTAAATTCAGAATTTGGCTTATATCTGTGCTCATTCTGGACAAATATTGTTCTTTAATACTAAATGAGCTTAATAATCATAGAAAAAAAAAAAAAAAATCATCTGGAACTTATTAATATTTGTTCTATTCGTTGTATTATAATATTCTTTAGTCACTGGTGTATGTACAGTATACCATTACTATGGTATCCTTTAATTGTAACATCCGATCCAGGCACCTCAAAGACAACTAAGTTTTCTTGTCAGAGTTGCTGAAAGCAAGATCAAGTGCAGTTTTTCATTATAAGTACATAATAACAACAGACAATTCCTAATTGATGACCCTTCTACATCCATGGACATTTGACATTTGAATGTTCCGATGAAAATAGGATAAACCAGGGACATTTTCATTTCCTTATGTTTTTATTATTATTTTGTCACCTCATTTTCATACAATCATGCCTTTCATTTTTTTGCTTTACAAAAAATCATATGTGTCATTATATTCGATGCAATTTCTAACATAAAGCTGGGTTCTGAAGGAGTTTTTTTTTTAATGTATGTATGTATTTAAGTATCATATAACTTTTTGTTTTACTGGCACAGACTGATAGGAAAGGTGAGGCGAGTTGAATAAAGTATATAACCACATTGATTTGTTATAGTTTGACATTTAATTTAGTGTTAAATTAATAGTTTATTTGTTAATAACAAGTGATAGAAGCATTGGGCTTGCTTTGTACTAAAGATGTGGTCTCCTCCCAGTCCAGAAGACAGCCTCCATAGTCATGTTTTGAATATAACTTATGTTGGCTGTAGTAACCTTATTTGATAAGTGTTAATGTAATGGAACAAAATTTCCGCAATTTACCATCACTTGTTATGTAATAATATGGTTTCAACTTCAGGATAAGAAATCGTCTAAAGAAATGAAGAAATCGGTCGGAAGTCAGGTCTGTATCCATGGTGCCAAAAACCTAACCAAAAAAAAAAAACAAATTTGGTTCACTGCCATGGGGAAATCTGTTAGTCTGGTTACAGGGATAAATAATATGTTGCTCGCTATGGTAACAAAACATTAGCTATTCTATAGTAGTTTAACTTGAGATATTATATTGCATGTAATTCTGCACAATTATGTAACCACCAATTTATTTTACACAATTTAATGAGTTTTTATCTTGTAATATAAATTATTAGTTCTAGTTCTCCTCCTATATTTCATCATATTATCACTAAACCAACACCATCTAACCTCCATTGTTAAACTAATATTGTTGACCAACTAACTTTCACTGATTCACATTATATTTCATGTAAATTTTGTTGATAAGTGTAGAATACATGTTTCAATACCAGTCTGAGAAAGAAAAATAAGATCAAGTTGACATTAGTATTGTACTACCTACATTTTGCTTGTGTAATGATAATAATTAAAGAAATAATTATAATAAGGATAATAATAATCATATCCATCATCTGTGTTGGTCATGTATGTATGGATTGACCTGTTTTCAGCCCTAGATAACTAATTAACTGTTTAATCTTCGGATATATAAGCAGCAAGGCAATGACATCTACATTCTACCAGGCACCCATTTATACTTGTGGGTGGGGAGATGAAACATAGGTTAAAGTGTCTTACACCATGGCATAAACAATATGATCAACAACCAACTTAAAAGTAACAACCCACACATATCTAAATGACTCAAACATTATGCAAAAGTAAATGTGTATGAAACCTGTACATTTAATGGGCCTTTCTATAAAACATAACAACTGGCCAATCAGAACAGGCCATTAATACATGCATGTTCTACAAATGTACATGATGTCCCACTAAGGCACAATGCTTACGTATATAGTTTTGCGTGACCTTAACAATATCCACGGTACGGGGCTTAGCGGAACTCTCTATTGCTGTCCGTATCAAAGACGTTCTGGATCAAATTGTGCATAATTATTTTTAAATTTAAGCTTTAAATGTTATATATGTGACATGCCTGAAATATGCTGACATCTAATCATGACCATATAAGGACATCATGGCTAAACATTTTTTTGTCTGAGAAAATTTGATAATCTAGATGGAGATTTATATCATTAAATCAAGCACATATTGACAGGTAGCTTATGTGGTTTATACATGATCACAGTCACCAAATTTGGTCAAATGTGATCATTTGTGATCACAGGTGATGGCAGGTAGTCAGGTGTGATTACAGGTGATGGCAGGTAGTAGGTGATCACACAATTTAGCACAACCCCTTAATTTGAACATCACCTCTGCACATGCTTATTTACATGAGTAGTTTATTATTAAACCAGACACTGGCATGTTAATCTAAATATTCAAAATAATTTAGTGCACAGAGTATTATCACATATACTGTAGTAGTAAGTAATTATAAATATTTACATTTTCTCTATTGTGTTAATAACAAGCCAAATATCAACCCACCTTATTTAGTAGAATAGTAAGAGTAAATTTTTTAAAATAAATTAGAATAATACAAAAAAGAGCCTTCCCACGTACAATGAATCATATGCTTTGCCCAATGTATAATTACAATTTAAAAGCAATATCATTTTACATACTGATTTTTTAAGATATAGGGTGTGTTGTGGTGGTATGTGCTTTATTTCCAGACCATAACAATGGATGTGAATATTGAAAATGACAAGAAATAGAATGCCCTACTTCCATTCCCATAGCACTTGCTCTGTATTTTCCCAAATTGACCGTGTGTATAATACTCCGAATCCTAATTCTATTAAACAGAAATGCAGAACCAAAATATATTGAAAGTATTTGTTCATGTGGACAGTAAGTATAATAGTAGAACACCACTATCATGATACTTCAAATTTGCGCGTATAAGATTACAAGGGTTTTTTTTATTATGAGTTCATCCACCCTTCGTTCAGCTGTTTTTTGACTTGCTGCTGGGTGTCCATCCATACTCAAAACGGGGGGCCGCTAAGACCACCAAATGGTGCTACCAGAATCAGTCGCAGGGGGCTCAACAGTTTATAACGTCGTACCCAAGACACTATAATCTTATACTGTACTATACTTAAATACGCTTAAATATACTAACTTAACCAGCTTAAGTCTACTAGACTTCATGTTCAGCCGTGCGCACAATATACTACTTTACCTTATACTGCTCATTTGCCCTTAAATTGGACATTGAGCTTCTGGAAACATGGTTTGTTCACTGCCACACTACTGTTTCCTTTCAGTTTTTTCCTTTCATTCTTCTTCAACAGAATCCCTCCAGGTCATAATTCTCCCTCAAAAACTTGTCTTCCCTTCAAGTGGCCATTCAGAAGCAATCTATGCGTTATCTTTCAATCCTTTACTTAAAATGTGTCCTACCCATCTCTAGGCCATTGGCAATAATAAAAACAATAATATGACTTGTTTTTACAGTATTTTGTATTTATATACTTCTTGGGTATGGTAGACTAATTGATGGTATATCTAACTAGACAGGAATGCTGAGGGGTTTTAGGAGCTCTTTCCCAACAAATAACAGCTCCTAAACACCCTTAACTAGATTTTTTTATATATTTTTTAGTTTGTTGGTCTAGTAATATGATTTTACAGTTTTGGAGAATTAGTCCCTGATGTTGTATGTGCTATGCTACAGTATGACTTTCAATCTCACTAATACTTGGCAGCCATACGTGTAAAATTTACAGCAAGAAAATGTCAAGTCTGTTTATTAAAATCTCTTATATTGAATAACCATGTTGGTTATGTAAATTTTATTTTTTTTTAAATAAAATTTTTGAGCATGGTAAAGCCAATATACTGATTGATTCAAAGAAAAATTTGAAGGAGCTGCATGTGCTAGGCATGGGGCTTGAATGTATGGAGGAAATTAAATGAGGGTAAATATGGTGCTGCGCTTGAATGTGGAATAGAAAACAAGGAATGTTGAAAGTAAAAACATATAAGGGCTAGTTTGAGCGAAAAAATATCCATACGATTTACCAGTTAATTCACCGGTACATCATTTTTAAAACCACCCGGACACTCGCCTAATTACCTTACCATATGGATTATATGCAACAATTTTGAATACCAAATTGCTGGGTAGAAGTATATACTAAGTATAGCAGCAGTAGAAAGTAAACAAACAATGGGTTGATGGGATAACTGTTTCTCATTTGCATTTGTTGACCTATGAAATTTATTTCTGGATTAGTTTCATTACATGATATTTAACGTTAGCTAAAACTTGCTCGAACGGTCGACCACCTGCTGAGAGCTCAGGCCTATTAACTGGTGAATGCAATGGAATACAGTTTGCATTTTTTGCTCGAACAGGCCTCAAGTTATAAATATGCTTATTCCTGGTGCAGCTTGGTGGTAAAAGCTAAACTTTAAAAATTCTCTCTAATTAAGTTTACATGATCATTAGCATGCTTTTGTCATGATAAATGCTATTGTTCCCATTAGTTTCGAGATTCTCTGAAGATTTTGATGTCAAAATTGAATAGTACAACTCCTCACTATGTGCGATGCATTAAACCAAATGATTGCAAAGAACCTTTCAGCTATGAGCCCAAGAGAGCAGTAGAGCAACTGCGAGCCTGTGGTGTTTTGGAAACGATTCGAATCAGTGCTGCAGGATTTCCGTCAAGGTGAGACATGAAACTTGCAAAATACAGAATATTTATAAAACTTGGTGGTTACGCTGCTTGCATTCTAATCCTAGGATACTGGGTTCAAATCCTGTAGCACAAGAATTTGTTCTCACGTACAGCCTGGTTCCTTAAAATGGATACACTGTCGCTAACTGCATTATTAATGCAATCGTTGTATTGCGTAGCAATACCCGATGTAATCGTCAGGGCTCCACGATTCGACCAACCAATCAGCATCACCGAAAGCTTTTGGTGGTAGCGTATAGCGATTGTATGGAAACTGAGTTTAAGCCTTGCTTCCCTAAAAATCTACACTGTAACTACAGTGTTTTCAGTGCAATCAGCATAGCAGTCCTTTACGCACTTGGGAAAGCTCCCCGATTCGACCGACCAATCAGCTTCGCTGAAAGCTATCAGCGATACCGTGTAGCGATTGTATGGAAACCAACCACTCCCTAACCTCACAATGAGACTTTGGCTATGTCAACACTCAAGATTTCTGATTTTTACTTTCCCTTATATGGTTATATCATATCAGTTCCTTATCTAGACAATCACACATGTTTTGTCGCATACTGCTCTGTGCACACTATCAAATTTTATATGACAAAAACATGTGACTTGCCTAAATATGGTCATGATGACATCACATCATGACCATATATAGGCACATCATGACTATATATGGGCTTACAACGGTGTTTTGTCAAAGAAAATTGAATAGTCTTGATAGAGCTTAAATTTGATAGTGTAAACATAGGTTTTGATTGTAAAGGCAGCATGTCAGTTTTAACTTTTAAATCGCAAGTTGGATGTAGGTGAAACCTTTAATTTACTTATTAAAATGAACTGGATGTCATCAAAAATTGTTTTTTCTTTATCTTACAAAGGTGGACTTATCCAGAATTCTTCTCAAGATACAGAGTTCTTATGCTAAAAAAGGAAATTAATAAATCCAATATGCGTGGCACTGCTGAGAAAATTCTTAACAGACTTATAACGGTCAGTATATATTAACCTTACCGATTTATTAAAGTATTTATTAGTGTTAAAAAGAGAATTAAGACGTACTGTACATGCATATAATGAACAGCTTTGTGGGCTTATGATCAGTTTGCTGTTCAAGACTCGGTTGTAACATTAGGGTACATAAGTGTGTGCGCTGAACCATAGAGATCTGTGTGTCCCTGGTTTTATTTCATTTAAGCTTTTGTACCTGTAAAATACAGGTTATATCCGAAGGCGTTCTGAAGGGACTTCAGCTGTTGGGCCCATGTACCAGATTGACACATGTGCATATTAAATATTGCAGAGTACACTCTTCCAACAAGTGTGGGATTGCCTGCCAGTTTACTACACAATTCACCTCAAGAGGGCCTGCTGCACGGTGTCTGCACTGTATCCCAAGGGGCTCATCCAAAATATCCTGGTTTGTCAACCGAGACTGATTGAGTTAACATTTTTATTATTTAATTATTAATAACTTGCATGATTTTAACCATTTAGGACCCAGATAAATATCAGTTTGGAAAGACAAAAATATTCTTCCGTGCCGGACAAGTTGCTTACATGGAGAAACTGAGAGCGGACTTACTGAAGGCAGCATGTATACGTATGCAGAAGACTGTGAGGGGGTACTTACAGCGTAAGCGGTACAACAGAATGAAGGCAGCGGCAATTGTCTTACAGAAACATGTTCGAGCCATGAATGCAAGAAGGTATTTTTACTATTACAGTATATTCGGGATCAGAGAAACAAAACTTTGTGATGGCTAATTTTTATCTGATTGTTTTTTATTTATCACAAAAACAAGTTACAAATGCCGAGTATTGTCAAAAGCATAGTGAGTCACTGTTAAAGACTTCTTAACATTACCATTATTATCAGCTGTTGTCAGTCCCCTGCAAAATGTAAGACCATGCAGCCTTTCTAAGTTCCTATTTCTTGTTTTGTTATAACAGTACGTTTGTACTGATGTATCTTAAAACTTCATATCTGTCTTTGTGTTGGATTAGCTATGTATCAATCCAGTATTAACAGAGCAAGTTCTACTGTATTATGGGTAAAAAATCCTTATTGCAATGCTTTATTTTTCCCATGTTTCCCCACAGACTGACAAGATTCATGCGTCGAACAAGGGCAGCTATCCGTCTTCAAAAAGTATGGCGCCGTTACCACCAGCGTAAGGCATATTTGCATATCAGAAGAGCTATCATCACGATCCAGGCTTTTACACGTGGAACGTTCGGTCGTAGGTACTACAAGGAAGTCTTAAGGCAAGCACGCGCCACGACGATACAACGATACACCAGAGGCTGGCTGGCAAGAAGATCATACCAAAAGACACGAAAATCAATTATATTACTACAGTGTTGTACAAGAAGAATGTATGCTAAGAAGGAATTGAAACGACTCAAGGTCTGTACATTCCATTCACGTTTGAAAATTTTTGTTGAAAATTGTTTATGTGTACATATTTTTCAGGAGAAACTTGTTGACCATTGTGGTGTATAATGTTGCAATCTTCTACATTACTTATTGTTATTGTATAGAGCCTAATGTTTTATTTATGTGAAATAGAATTTTTTTTAATGTACAAATTTAGCAGATTAATAAATTACTTTCTCCAGTACTATGTACTGAAAATTCCAGGGTCTTAATTTAGGAGAGAAAACAATTCCAGGAGATCTCAATGCAATTACTCAACTCATGCAATGTTTATATATATTTGTTATATCTTTTAGTTTTAATGTTTGAATATTTTGTGTTTAATCATATAGTTAATGTTGTTTCTAGTGTGTTTATCAATTGGCAAAACAAATTTCATTGTTCACTTGACTTGATTGATGACAGTAAGGTATTCTTGATTCTCGATGTGCTTTCTTAGCACATCTGATTTAATTTTGCTGACTTTGGTGATAAGACAGTAGATGAAGACATACAAACATCATGGATTTGTGGGAGATGGATTAGTTTCCAAGAGAATTTTTGTTTTGCTCACAAAAGTGCAAGAGGCCTGATTTCCATGAGGTTCTTGCAACATGCATAAGACTTGGGACCCTTCCTATAAATACTAGCTATTGTCTTTTGAGTAGATTATTTAATCTTTCTTACAGATTGAGGCCAAGTCTGTTGAGCACTTTAAGAAGCTAAATCGTGGCATGGAGAATAAGATTATAGAACTTCAGCAGAAACTGAATCAACAGGTATGTCGTCTACTAAATCACAGCAATATTTTTTAAGCTACAAACCCCCAACCTGATGAGCTATTTGGCCTAAAAACTTTGATCTGATAAAGCCTTCTTGTATCCATCTTGTGACCATCGTAATAATATTTTTTTATGGATTACTTAGCTTAGTTCCTGTAGTGAAAGTGTTTGTTTACGGGGTTTTGGGGTCAAATTCCTTTCCCTTGTCTCAGTTGTCTTGATATCATTGTTAACAAGGAAACTATAGAAGCATTTGGTTTTGCATTACTAATGTTTTTTGCCTTTATTGTTGACCATTAATGACAATAATGAGGTACGTCAGTTGATTACTATTAAGTTGAATACAATTTCCTGAGATATGAGACAATAGTTCAATGTTTTTAAAGATCGGTGATGTTTGTCCTTTGTTTTATTTGAGTCTGATGACCTGTTGTATATCTTAATTCAAATAAAAAATCATATACAGGATGATATTTTATACTAAGTATTAAGAATATCATTTGTTTTGGATCAGCCTCAGCTTTAGAATATACACTTAATAAAGTTTTTCTTAAAATTTAATTGAAATTTGATTTATACTTTTTTAAAGAGAAATAAATGTGATTGAATTGAATTTTTCAGTTAGTTTTTTCTTAAACTCTCTAGGAAGCTTTACAAAGCTTTGTTTTTATTTAACAATGCAGGTAAAAATATCATCTCAAAACAAAGAAAAGGAAGAAGTTATATCCAAACTAGAAACAAAGGTTAAAGAAATGGAAACTCGTGAGGTGGAAATGGATGTTTTACAGAAGAAGACTGTTGTGATAGAAGACGAACTTACAAAAATAAAACGAGAGTTGGAAGAGACACGTGCAGAACGGGACAAACTTATACTAGATATGAAAGCGGCACAGGAGCAATATCAACAGGTGAAACCTTACATAAGATTAGATTCCACTGTCCTCTATAGATTATACTTAAAAACTGCTCGAATCATGGCTTTGTTCTTAGAGCATGTTGATAAAGATTAAATCTTCCATCACATTCTAATAGCTTTTACCTTGATAGAAATAGATAGATTATATAGTCATAAGGAATAATGGACCTTTCCACAGTATCGATCAAGAACAGGGCCAGCAACATGCACATGTCTAAAAGTTGGCGGGCATTCACTGCATCGTATGACCATTGGCCGACGAATACAACACCGCTGTGTGAGCGCTAGACACCGCAATGCCGTCTGCTGATTGTTGGTGGCTGATTAAATGGATCGTCATTAAAAACGATCCGTCGCATAAGCTTTGTGGAGTTCTTCTTAGAATCGCATCGGCCAACGACCGTCATGTGCAGTGTGTGCCAGGCTTAACAAGCACATGTTGGCCCACAAATATACCTGTTTGCGTCACTAATCTCTACTATAATAGCTGGATTGCTCATCGGCCAATCCTGGTACAGAAAAAAGTGAGGCCTCCGCCGCCATGTTGGAGGGCCTAAGTGATGTACCAGTTTAGAAAAGTTTGTTTTGGCATTTGTTTAAATTACATTTAAAAATAACAATTCTTGCAATACTTTTCAATAATAAATTGAAATTTAACGTAGGAATTTTTTTTTTTTCAAACCATCTAACCACTAGACGCGACTATTTATGCAGATTTCAAAAGCGCGAGCGAAGTCACGTTATAATGATGTCGATTCCTAACAACGTAAATAACTTTGCTTGCGCTTTCTTAAACTGCGTAAAAAGTCGCATCAAGTAGATAGATGATTTGAAAAATAATCATTACGTTAAATTCAAATTTATTGTTAAAATTTTTTACAAGAATCGTTATTTTTAACAATATTTCAAACAAATGCTAAAAGAAACTTGTCTAAACTGATACATCACGTAGGCCCCTGAACATGGCTTCGGTGGCTTCACTAAAACCAGCCAATGAGCAATCCAGCTATTATAGGAGAGATCAGTGGTTTGCGTATGTTTTAACACTGTCGTTTTGTGGGGCAACAATACCCAAGAGGTGGAGCGTAGCAGAAAGGTATACCCCTACTAGCTATGACAATGAGACCTCAGTAATTTTGACCAAAGTTTGAACTTTTTATGTAGAGATCTAAAATTATTATGTTCTTGTATGAACAAATATTTTTGGATATCTTTACTCCAAAATCTTAATGAAATTTTGGAATACCTGGGCTTATACCAGAGTGAAGAATTGAAATACTGCCTTGAATTCCTGAAAAATGAGCATTATTCTAAAAGCACTTATGCAATTCTTACATGTGTATAATCAAGTAATGACTTAAAGAATTGGATTAGCTTAGTGTAGCCAGTTAAAAGGTGCTATAATATAGTTTATTTAAAAGTATTTTATATTTCAGCTACATAACCTTGGTGATTGGCATATCTTAACTACAATTATGCATGATGGTGAATGTGGTCTAACCCTCATATTTACCATATTGTGGCAGCTGCAATATTATGTGTTGCTGCTGTATGAGATCAAAGGTGTGTGGTGTCAGGTGTGAGGTTTGCCATTTGTTTGCTTAACCAGGTGTACGGTTGGTGATTTGTGTATAAAGCAGGTGTGTTTAATTGTGACGGCAACTTTCCATTGTTGTTGCGTGTGTGTATAGTGAATATGTTTAAGATGCAGATTTAGTGCTTTGAGAGGAAGGTAAATTGTTGTTCAAGTGTGTAAAGGAGGTGAGTGTGGTGGCTGCCACATTCCATCGGTGCTATGTGATGTGTGACGTTTTATGAGATACCAGTGTTAATAGCAGCTAAGTGGTGGCTGCAACTTTCCATGAATATTACGTGATGTGTATATGCTTTGAGATATAGATGTGTGATGAATTGAGACACATTTGTGTGCTTGGCCAGGTGTTTACTTGTCTAAGTGTATGGTTGGTCAGGTGTGTTAAGCAGGTGAAAACAGATCTGGCAACAACATTCCATTGGTGTTGTGTGATGTGAGTAGTATCTATGCTTTAAGAAAATGTGTGATGCTTTGAGATATCTTTATTATTATTACCATGATTTATCATTATTTAATCTTTACATCATTATTATAACAATATTTTATATTCGCAACTAACTTCACCTCACAACATATACTGTAATCCATACTTATTCAAAATTCTTCACTCATATTGAGTGACAGTATTTTAAAACTTGGTTTTAGCATTTGGATTTAAATTTAGTTACTCTATGATTTTTTTTAGGGACTGTTGAGTTAAAAATTAAGTAGGCGGTGGCCTGAAAATTTACCTTCACAGCTACTAACTCTGTTTCTGTTTTGTAACAAATGAGTTGCTTTCAATTTCAGTACTTGAATAACTTTTACATTATCATATGAAACAAGGTTAAGCTCAATATTTTATCAAGATTTAATCTAATATTTCATATTCATAATCTAATTTAAATTTCACTCCTAAATATTTATGGTCTAAAGTTTTAATGTTCATAATTGAAAACATGTTGTAATTATATCCCATTTGAACTTTATTGTAATGTGATTGAATTTGACCTGTGATTTCAATGTGAATGAATCAGAATTCTTTAGCCTCTTTCATGATTGTACCAAGATTAAACTACAAGTACCATGAAAGCAACATTTGAAAACAACCAATCAGAAAGCACCCTTTCAGAAAGTCAGTTATAATAATATAATCATTAATTTTTCAAACAGTGAATACTCAATCAAAAAAGAACCCAATTAAAACCATCCAATCAAAAATCGCCATCATAAAATATCAAATCAGAAAGCAACTACAAGAATTACAAATCATAGAATCAGAAAGCAACCATCATCATAATTTATCAGAAGGCAACTTAAGTAATTGTAAATCTAATCAGATATCATTAAGTTCAACAAATTTTTTTTATATTTACAAAAAAAAATCTTTATATTAGAGGAAAACCCAGAAGTATATGATCAGATATCATTAAGTTCAACAAATCTTTTTTATATTTACAAAAAAAAAAACAGAGGAAAACCCAGAAGTATATGACATATTCAAATACCACATCAAATTATCTGTTGTATTTGGTTATATGTATTCAATGCTATAATAGCATATACTAGCTTGAATTTTTACAGGTTGATAATATAAAAAATAATATAGCAAGTAATACTAAAACTACAATATTTAAGGTATTAATTCTTAATTAATAATACATAACAAATTAACAATACTAACCTATGTGAGCATTCTTATATTTGCTGCTTCAATGAAGTCAAAGCTTTAATTATTAATATTAATAACTCACTGCCAGTAAAAAGAGATCAAATGAAAGATAACATAAGATCAAAATGCCAGTAAATAAGAGATATTAATTTAAAATAGTTATAAAATATTACTATTACTGTACTTTAGTCAGTATCATTCCTATATATCATTGAAATTTCATGTTGAACCTCAAAATGTGCAATATTTATTTTCAATAAGAAATAAGCCTTATAAATCATTTAAAGTCTATAGAACCATTATCAGCAAGAACCAAATATATGCGTTAATATAAATTTTAGTGAAGTATGTTATGTACCATAATTTATACATTGAAATAATACTTAAGGTTTTATAAGGTCTGTCTTTGCAAATCCTTTCATATTTAGTATGCATTTCATAATATTATTAATAATTATGAATTATATAATTTAGTAATGCATTTTATTTTAGATACCAAAAGATATACTGTGGGTAGTCATGAATCTGGGAACCATCAAAAATCAAAAAAGAAAATTTAAACATTTAAGTGTTGTTAGGTATGTTATCAAGTTGGAAATTGAGACACTGATTAAAAACAATACTGGTTTTGCTGCTTTAAGATTATATTATACAACTGTATTATGTGTCTATTAATAATTGGTGAGGAATATAGTCTTGTCATAATTTATGCAAATCAAGTAATTTAAAAGTATAATTTTATTAGTATATCTTTAATTTGTTATCACTAGAGGATGCTTTATCAGAGAAAGTCTTAAAATTTTTAATTCTTTTTGGAAATAAAGGGTATATGCAAAGACAGTCCACCTTGTTCCGTTTTCTTGTGTTGTGTTATCTGTTTATGTCAGAATTTTTTTTTTTTTTTAAAGTTTTTAGGCTTTTTTTTCAAGTTCAGAAAACAAATGGTAACACAGACATTAATTATACATATGTTAAAAATACATATCTATCTCTTTTAAAACCAAACTGTTGAATATGCTGTAATGTTCACTCTAAAATACAAAGAAAATTTCATTACATAATCATCAAACTCATCACCTTTATCATTATCATTTTTGTCAAGATGAATTACCTCACTGGAGTCACGTTGACCAGCGGCTATAAGAATGGATGCATTACATTTACTTAATCATTTTCCATTATCGTTCTGTGCCAGAGTGGTCAAATTGAGTGAAATTGGAAATAATGTAAAGTCATCTATTTCTGATATATTTATTTTATTTATAATTTATTTTTATTTATTTATTTTTTTTTGTGACTGCAGAGTCAGAATGTGCTAGATGGATGTTGTTGATTGTGTAGTAGAGAGAGGTTTGTGGATTGATTGCTGACCTTCTAGAAGTCAATAAAAATTGAATCCATAATCATATGCAATGAATTAATAATAGAGTTTGTCCCCTTCCCCACCACTTCTTATAATCGCCTCAATTCAGTTTGTTTTCCAATTTCTTTATTTGGTGAGCTACAACTACTGCTACTTGTGACCTATAGTAATTCTTCTATGGCTATGAATTACTTTGTGTGCAATACTTGTACTTTATTCTTTATTGCTTTTCCCAGGAGAAAGATGTACTAGAGGCTGAAAGTGACAAGTTAAGGAAAGATGTTCTTGAGAAAGAAAATCTCCTTAAAGAACAAGATGAAAAATTGGAAGGTAAGTTGTGCATAATAAAAATGGCACAGTCACTGAGTTGTCTTTTCTTTAAAATTTCCTTACGCTTGATATAAGATTCTAATATTGTATTGGTGATTATACACCCATATGCAATGCCACACTCCACACAAAATTCTGATAACCCTTTCAAGTCCTTGTTAATTATTCTTGTAAGCAGCTCTGCCACTTTTGTAACATCGCCTGTCCCATTGAAATATTGTTCTTTAGCTGTCTTATTTTCTATCAGAGTTGCAAATACCTAAATACAGTAGTTAAAATTATAACTGTATCTCACTAATGTGAAATTTTGATGAATACTTCAGGTGAAATTAAAAGACAGGTTGAAGTTGGGATGGCAGAGCTGAAGAAGGAACTAGATGATGAGCGCTACAACCACCAGAAACTTGTACAAGACTACAGTCGCTTAGAGCAACGTAAGCAGAATCTAGAAGATGAAATAAAAACCTTGGAAGTACAACCGATGGAAAGGCATGTCGTGATGGACGCGAAAGAGGGCAGTGAGTCTGGTTATGGAACTCTGAGCACCACAGAATCTGAAGATGCAGAATCTGTTGCTACAGAGATTGCGGTAAGATTCAGACAGAACACTAACTTGGCTCATTCCCTTCAACACCAGGGGCAGATTTAGGGTGGGGCCGGCCCCGCGCCCCCCCCCCCTTTTGGAAGGTTAAAAAAAGGGAGAAAAAAGAAAGAAAAAGAAAAAAATGATAGCCCACAACGCCTCAAATGTTATTTTCGGGCGTCTAGAACACAAAAATTTCGCGGGGGCATGCCCCCGGACCCCCTAGGACATTGTTGTCTCGATCGGCCCAAATTTCGGCACCCCTTTTGGCCCCCCCCCCCTTTTGGACATCTCTGGATCCGCCCCTGAACACCTTGTGGAGCATAGGTCCTTGGAAATAGCTGTTTTGGGTTATCTTTTCTAGCTGGTCCCTATCATATCAATTCCTAATGTTCATTAATACCTCCTTATTATGTAGCCCCAGATATTCCATACTTTTTATATATATTCTGTCTTGTATAATTGTAGTAGGTACACTATACTGTGTGCACATGCCAGGGACAGAACAAAACATAAAGAAGATAATTAGCTTTATCAAAAGCTATAATCTTTGTCAGTGATTTTATACATGAGAGTGCCCAAAACAGAATCTATATCTGAATGATTATACTTAATCCTTAACTTTCATTTCATTCTAATTTTCTTTTTCTTGAAAGAGCTTAAAGGCTTGTAGTTGTAAGCACTTTACAAAAGAATAGTTTAATTTACAAATTTTTCATTTGGCAATAGGAGCAAGGTCAAGAGAAAGCCAGTATGGATATGAGTATTTTCCTGAAATTGCAACGGCGACTTAAAGATCTAGAGAAAGACAAGAAACAGTTGGAGCAGGATTTAGAAAAGAAAGATAATGTAAGCAAAGGACGTTCGGATAGCTTAGAAAATGAACTCCATAATACAAATCTACAGGTTGGTTCTACTGTCATAATTTAATAATTGTTGTTATTGTCGTTTGTTGTTGATGGTTTTGTTGTGTTTGTTGATGTTATGGTGTTGCTGTTGTTATAGTACTGTTAGTGTATTATTGTTGTTTTATGTGCTTGTTATAGTGGTGGTGTTGTAGTAGATGTAGCAATGCCATAGCATTATTTTGGTATTGATGCTTTTATGGTAGTGTTTTGATTATTATTGTGGCGGTGGTGTGGTAAATGTTGTTGTTGATGGTTTTGTTGTGTTTGTTGATGTTGTGGTGTTGCTGTTGTAGTATTGTTGGTATATTATTGTTGTTGTTTGTTGTGTTTGTTATGGTGGTGGCGTTGTAATAGATGTAGCAATGCCATAGTGTTGTGGTATTGATGCTTTTATGGTAGTGTTTTGATTATTATTGTGGCGGTGGTGTGGTAAATGTTGTTGTTGATGGTTTTGTTGTGTTTGTTGATGTTGTGGTGTTGCTGTTGTAGTATTGTTGGTATATTATTATTGTTGTTTGTTGTGTTTGTTATGGTGGTGGCGTTGTAGTAGATGTAGCAATGCCATAGTGTTGTGGTATTGATGCTTTTATGGTAGTGTTTTGATTATTATTGTGGAAGTTGTGTTGTAAATGTTGTTGATGGTTTTGTTGTGTTTGTTGATGTTGTGGTGTTGCTATTGTAGTATTGTTGGTGTATAATTATTGTTTTTTTGTTTGTTGTTGTGGTGGTGTCGTAGTAGATGTAGTAATGCCATAGTTTTGTTATGGTATTCATGCTTTTAAGGTAGTGTCTTGATTATTATTGTGGTGTTGTTAATGTTGTTGTTGGTGGTAGTGGCGGTGGTGGTGGTGGTATTGTTGTTGCTGTCATAGTAGTTTTGTTGATGTTGTGGTATTTTTGATGTTCGTTTTAATGTTTCTGTTGATGATGGTGATGTTAGGATGTTATGTTAATAATATTATTGTTGACGTTTTTATTGTATTCACTGTTATAAATTGACTTTGTTGTGGTAGTGGCATTGTTGTTAATAGTGCTGTGTTTGATGTTTGTGTTGTTGCTTTTGTTGTAGTGAGGAACGTTTTTTCTTGTTATAATTTTAGATTTAATATACAAGTAACCAAATTTAAAAATTGGATTTTATTATACAGGTTTATTAGTATTATATATATTTAAAAGATTATTTTTGATTTGACCAACAGATCCAACGACTAAGAGAAGAAAATACTAAATTGAAAGGGGAAGTAGACATGTATAAAGAGTCTTTAGAGAAAGCAACAAAAGGTGATACAACACAAGCTATCAAAGTTTACAACCAGCAAATTGAGGTGCTAAATCTAGAGAATGAGAAACATCGTGATGAGATCATCAGATTAAAGTCAGAGCACCTTACCAAACAACATAAGAACTCAACAGAGGTGGAGGATGCAGGAACCAACACTGATCGTCAACTGTACATAGACCAAGCGGCAGAAGATTTGAACCAGGATGGTGATCTAGAGATGGCTTATCAGTCCTTGAAAATGACCAATCAGTAAGTAAAAAAAACATTTTTAATTTGTCTCTTTTATTTTATTATGTTATCTTCCAACTGAAAATATTTGTGTTACTAATTTAAGGTGTTTTATATTAATTTATATTTATTACTGTATGTTATTGTTGCTATGCTATTGTTCTGTTGAAGGGATATAATGAAAAATGCTACTTTTATATCAAGGTTCTCACAGTTTCTGTTAAGTTTATCCTAATTTTTATTCCTACATATTATTTATACTTTCAGCATATTTGCAGTTAAAAATGCTTTATTTAATCAATCAATTTATTATGTCTTTTTGTAAATTTTGAAAATATCTGACAATAGATTGTTTATGTTGATAAATGTCAAGGTCGTAGATTTGTCTGGTTGGAATCTTAGATTTTACAAGGTTTTTAATTTTTTTTTTCAGCTTTTAGATGATTTTCATTTCTATAAGGATTTGAACTTGTATAAATATGTTCTTATAAGTTACTATACATGTATGTGTAAAATGTCATCTGTATTTCTACTTAACAAATACAATCTATGACTCTTGCAAAACACTGATATGAGAGATATAATTAATAAAGATAATTTCTAAAATTGATGATATAATGAATATTTAAATCCACTTCACATTAGATAAGAAAAGTTGATTTTCTAGAATAAGCAGCTTAGCTCAGATTGGTGCTAGCACTAAACTACAGAGATCCTTTCATACCTCCAGTCCTAGTTCAGTTCCATCCTGGTCTCTTCTTGTAGTTCAGCTGGAGGGCTGAAATGCAAGTTTCAGCAGCACACCTCATTTTAGTTAAAATCTTTAGACTGTTATTTCCATGTGTAGGAGATTGCCTCCTGGTGAGTATATTTAGGGACTAAGACCAGATTGAAATCGTGAATTGCTAGAAAAATTCAGTACTCTTACGTTTCGTATTTTTTACTAAAAGACTTAACAGAAGGTTGGTGAGGGGTGAACTTAATTTAATTGTACCAATATCAACTGCTCATATTCTCACATAGAAAGAATAATTTTTGTGGAATAATACAGTAATTTTTGTGGAATAATTTAGACAGCAATATAAAAAATTCAAGCACACTAGAACTTTTTAAAAGAAACATAGTAATGCAATAACCATTAGTATGTATTATATATATTTGTTTTTTCTTTGTACTAACACTTAATTATTTTAATCTAACACAATTATTTTGTTTAATGTCCATACGGCCTCGTGGAAGAACACCCACTTGGGTGAACGAGTTTTTTGACCGTTATAAAATAAAGTTGTTATTATTATTATTATTATAAAGAGCATCACAGTTTATTCCTTCTCTTCTTAGTAACAATTATCACTTGGTGGATAAGTCTAAAATATTTAAAGATTCAGTGCTATTTTTAAAAAGATAAAAAAAATCTTCAACACTTCAAGTATTCAGTTTAATTTACTTGGCAGCTGCACAATAAGAGCAATTGGTCACTGTAACCTAGGTCAGTTTAATCTATGATGCATCATTGTAGGAGATATCTGTTTGCCTTTGTACTCTGTGTGCTACCTCTCTGCTACCATACTGTAGGTGTGTTGCCACACTGCTTTCATATTCTGTAGTAAGTGTACCTATATACTGAGAGAGGCAACAATGTCTGATTCAGCACCGTTTTTTCCCCATTAATCATAAATGTAGTACAGTGTCGCATACAATTTCTTCACCAGTTAGCTTGAATGTAGAAAATCGTACGCTAGATTCCACTATGTGAATGTTCAGTGGGAACAAAATGGCGTCAAATTTCAAGCTGTTGCCACTCTCAGTAAATAGGTACAGTAACTGTTATCTATGTGTGTTCTTGCTTTCATACTTTATGTGTGCCACCCTGCTTTTATACTGTGTGTGCTGCCACCCTGCTTTTATACTGTGTGTGCTGCCACCCTGCTTTTATAATGTGTGTGCTGCCACCCTGCTTTTATACTGTGTGTGCTGCCACCCTGCTTTTATACTGTGTGTGCTGCCACCCTGCTTTTATACTGTGTGTGCTGTCACCCTGCTTTTATACTGTGTGCTGCCACCCTGCTTTTATACTGTGTGCTGCCACCCTGCTTTTATACTGCATGCGTGCTGCTACTCTGCTTTTGTACGGTGCTTCCACCCTACCTTGACACTCGCTGTGTGCTGCCTTTGCTTTTATGCCACCTTCTCTTTGTGCTGAATGTGTGCTGCCACTCACTACCACCCTGCCACTACTGCCACCCTGCTTTTTTTTTATGTTTACTTCTAATTTTCTGTAATGTATGTTTACCAACAGGACTTTCCTTGTCTACTGTATCTTGTTACCACTCTGCTTTTACACTATGTGCATTCTTTAACCCTGCTGTACATCTACTGTGCTAGTTTTTGTACTTTGTCTGCTGATATTGTACCATATTTTGTGGTACCATGTCATTTCTACATTGCACCATTATTATTATCTAATAAATTGATATTTCATTGGTAGATTTTGTTGTGCTTTGTATGCGCATTGTTAGTATATATAAATTATTGGACTTGCCATAGGTCCTTGTTATAGCTTCCTTCATTCTGGACAGTGCCGCCAACAAGGAAATAAAGTTGGGTCATTGAAACAAGCCGAAAAAAATGAAAGAAATTGAATATGGGATGCCAACTAAATTTGCGCAATAAAAAGTAACCCAAATTTATGCCGTGAACCCAGGCTAATAAATCATTTCCATATATTCTTGTCATAACTGGATTGAATTTTAAGGCAGAACAAATGTTTCAACAATCTGGCGCAAATTATAGCCTAAAAAATCTTGATCAACTATGACATGAGATATAGACTTCTATTGAGGCAAATAAATAAAACAAAGTGTTTTTGGGCACTATGTAAAATTCAATCAATGAATTTGCATTTAGAGATATTTCAGTTTGATAGTTACATAGGCTTAACTTTAAACTTAAAGGATGTTACGACCATGATTAAGCGAACATTAGAACATGTGGCAAAGTAAAATTAAAATTTAATTGTAAATGTGTAATTGTAAATTCATAATGTGGCTGAAAAATTTATGCTCCCATCTTCCAGAAAACATGTGGTGTGTAAATGAAGTTTTATTGCATGTTGATTTAATTGTGTGAAACTTTTTTTTAATGTTACTTTAAAAGGCAAATTGGATTTTAGTAAGCAAAAAAATATTAACACAATATACTTATTAATGCATTGCTACTGATAACATTATTTTAATATATATTAAGGATGTGAAAACCTAACAATTATTATGTGAATGCAAAAATAATACTATGTGCATCTTTGTGTCTATGATGGCTGCTCTGTTGTATTTATAGTAGGTAATGTATTCCCTCGTTTACTGTGTGTGTTTTTGTCATGTTAGTTTAATAACAGCACTATCTGCCAGTCAGTCTAGTTTACATGAGACTGTACATAAATATGGAGATCTAGCGGGAACACAAAATGAACTTTTGATACAGAAATTGTGAGTAGTCTGCTGCATTGGTTTACTCATCATCCAATCACATTTCTTCTTCATCCATCTGTGTCTTTGCACTGTCAAACTCCATCTATATCACTACTTCAGGAAAGTTTAACACTTAACACCATTTTGATTTTTTGTTAACACTTTAAATTTCTAATGTAGTAGATTGTTGGATCCTCATTATAACAATGATTAATTTAACATTTAGTAAAGGTTTCGTAATTGCTTGAGGTAAATTAGGTGTTTCAAGGTTTAGACTATGCCAGGCTTCTAGTTTGCAGTGTCTTCATAAATTGTAGTCAGTAAAATAGCGTTCTTCTGCTTTGCTGGATATTTTTTAACTTGCTGCTAATCAGCCTAATAGTGTATTTGTCCACAGCCATTTTTCTGTTGAGGAATATTTACAATCAGAAGGTTGGTAGTCTACGGCTGACCACTTTTTTTTTTCCATGGGCAAGGATGGGTACCTGGGTGGTAGGTTATTGACGTAGTCTGTGGATTGGTCTTTTTGAAGATACCATGCTAAAAATCTTCCAGCCAACCAATCAAATTTAGCGATTAAAAGATGCTTGCAGGCAGTCCTGATGGTAGGGGGTAGTAAAATTATTGATTTTGAGTCCCAAGCGAGGGGTGTCCGATACTTAATGCTGATAACGCTCTTGCTAGCCTATTCATTTCAACCGTCCTAGATGACAAAAACATTTTTTTCACCACTCGCCTAGCCACCTCACTTTGCTTTTGATTTCATTGCCCAACCTCATATTCATAAGGAAAAACATGAGAAAATTTGCTGCTTACAGTCTTGAAGCAAGGGAGATTGTTTAGGGCTTAGTTTTGTCAAAATCTTTCCAATCATTTGTTACGAGGTACAGTATGCATCTAACATTATCCAGTTAAATAGTATAAGAAATAATGTGGTCTATGTCCCAGGGTTGGGTCTCAAATCATCTTTGTTGCTATTTGTATAAAAATGAAATAATTAAAATGTTGGCGAGGAATGACTAATCTAAGATCATAAACTCATATCCCATAATGGATTTAGACACTAAAGAGTTAACAAAATAACATTTTTAAAATACATGAAAAGTATAATTTTAATTTATGTACAGTATATATTTTAAACTGATTATAGTATTTTGGTAACACTGAAAATCGAAGTAAAAGTTTTTTTAAACCTAAAAAATTAAAATTTAAAAACTATAAGTGAAGTTTACGCTATAAATATTTTACTTTATTTAAATAGAGATATATAACAATAAATGGTAATCTAATGAAGGGTTACACTATACATAATTTCATATAGTATAGTTTAATGATATTCAATTTCAAACATTGTATATTATTATTTACATACATGTGTTTCTGTATATAAACAATTATCTAAATATTTTGTTCAGATCAGTTAAATTTACTTTATATCTTGACAGTGTGTATGTTGATATAATCGTTGACATACAAAGAGAGAAAGATCATCATCATGAAATAAAAATACTGTAGGTTGAATATTGATGCTGACGGTGAATTTGATGTGTATAATTACTGTAGTTCCCAAGCCAGGGGTGGATCAAGAGGTGTCCAAAAGGGGACCCAATCGACAGAAAACACTACCTTGGGGGTGGGGGTCCAGGAAATTTTTTTTTTTCTAGCAGCCCATAAATAACGTCTAAGGAATTTTGGACAATCATTTCTTTCTTCTTTTTTTTTTAACTTTCCAAAAGGAGGGGTGGGTTATGACCTGGCATGCCCCTTCCCCTCCCCTAAATCTGCCCCTGCCAGCTATAATTTTTATGCAAAATGTTCTAACCAGGTATAACTATTTTAACTTTCAAAGGTTTGGTGAGGAATTCTGCACTTTGTCAGACCTGCTGTATGTCCTAGCCACCTCTTTATGAAGCCACGGCTAAACTTCTTTGCCTAACTAGGCCTGTAGAGTCACAGTTGGCTTGCATTTTATGGTCCCTTGGTAAAATACCTCCCAGGTCAGCACAATTATATGCTTAAGGGGTGGGCTTATACCCATCCCGGTGATTTGCATCAACATGGAGAGGGTCTGTAGAACTTGTAAAACAGTAGTGAGATAGTGCTTTAACTTTCAATTCAGGAGGTTCTTGGTTCAGAGATCAGTATGTGGTGAAGATGAGCCAAACCATTCACTTGTTGCAATTCTTGTTTCAGAGATAATGGCCAAAACATGCTGCAATGTCAACATTTTTTAATCTATTTTATTGGACTAAACTAACCTTTAAATGATTTTTTTACCATTTTATGGCTCTCATTGGCTTGTCTTTACCACATATTCATATGAGTTATACACAAGTGCTGTAATATGGGAATATCTGAATCAGGTCTTATTACATGTTTACTGACTATCTTATAAACACCTCTACACTGTACGCAAGTGTTTTAGTAACATGTGACCAGTAAAGACAGGTGGTCAATTTACACGTGTATAACAGGTGGTCAATATACATGTTACATTGGGAATGTAAAGGAATTCAGTATACAGGTGCTGTTAGTGCATGATATGTGTTTAATATACAGTACAGGGTCTAAAACGGTATCATGCAATTAGTATGATCAGTATTCTTATAGGGTGCATATTTGTTTTATTTGGGCATTGACTGCATGTTGCATGGTTTTGAATTTCATATTCAAAGGTTTATTGTCTTTAGACCAATTTTAATACTCATAATGCTTTCTTCCGATATGATAATGTTTGTATATCAAGAATGGTGTTTTAATTAATATATTTTTATTTTACTTTCTGATTATTGTTACTTTTCATGTTTATGTTGAAATTATTATATATTCAATTTTCATCAGCATTTTTGTAAATTTGTTGCATTGAATTCAAATTAGTTCTGCAAAAATAAATGTCTCTCATGCCTCTCATTTGCAATAATAATAATATTAATAATGATAATAATAATAATAATAATGTAGTTTTATATAGCGCCGTATCCATCTAATATAAGATGCTCAAGGCTCTTGATATGTGGACTACTCGATCAATGACTTTCTTCACCCCTAAGCGTCCCTTCTTTTCTGTGCTACCCGGCAACCCTTTACCAGCAACTTTCGTCATCCACCACAGGATATATCTCAACTATCCGATTGGTCCCAATGTAAGTCTTTATTCTAAACTATCTTTAAAACAGTACCACAAAAACTTGAGTTGATGCATTGACATCCATACAGCTAGTTCAGTTGTCTACAGATACATATTTCCTAGCTGGATTTCAACATAGTCAAATTCATACCAACAACCACGGTTCTCTCAACTACAGCTGTGCAGTGGTTTCCCAGTACCAAAGCTAAGGTTGTCATTTTACCGATTAGTATAGTGATCTAAAATAGAACTACCAAGGTACTCTTTAATAAGGTCTGTACTTTACATTCTACCACCTACCAAGTTTACCCTGTAACCAGTGCAGTTGTCAATAGTAGAAACTACCAGTGTTCCCTTAAATCAAGGCCATACTTGATATTCTTCAAAGTAGCAAGGTTACTCTCAACTAGTACAGTCGACTACAGTAGAAACTTCAGTTTTCTAACCAACTCAGAATAGTATTTGACATTCTACTATAAAAAGTACCCTCAACTACCAAAGTTTCCTTCAACCAAGACCATACCAGACATTCTACCAAATTCAAAGGTTACCCTCAATTATAGTAGTTCAGTTATCTACATTAAAAACTACCAAGGTTCCCTTACACCAAGTCTGTACTTCACATTCTACCAACTACCAAGTTTACTTTCAATTAGTTGAGCAATTTACAGTAGCAACTACCAAGGAATTCCCTTCAACCAAGTGAATACTTGGCATTCTACCAAGTACCAATGTAGCCATCAACTAGTACAATGATCTTCTGATACAAATTACCACCGCTTCGTTCAACCAAGCTAGTTATATTGACATTCTACCAACTACCAAAGTTGTCCTCAAATAGTGCAGTGGTCTACCGATACAAACTAGTTTTTGGTAACCAATTCAGTAATCTTGATATTCTTTCGAACTACTAAAGTTATCCTGAAATAGGGCAGTGGTCTAACAATTCAAACTTCCAAAGTTTCCTCCAAGTCAGTAATCTTGACATTTACAAACTGCCAAAGTTTTCCTCAACTAGTGCAGCAGTCTACTCATACAAACTACCAAGGTTTCTCCAGTAATCTTGACATTCTACAAATTACCAAAGAAGTCCTGAAATTGTGCAATGATAAAGTACCAAAGTGTCTTTCAACCAAGTCAATTGTCCTGACAATAATTCATCCTACCAAGGCTACCCTCAATTAGTGCATTGAACTACCAATGCTTCCTCCAACCAAGTTCAATGCAAGTGATCAACCCATACTATACTGACAGCTGAGTGCCTCCACATAATAGCTAAGTCACAGTTTCCAGAGTTTTTCGAAGTATCAAAACCTAATAATGACAAAGATAGTGATAAAGAATAGAATACATAAATTTAAGTTTAAAGGCACTTGATAAGATACAATGTCATAAAATTAGGTTATATGGATACATTAGTGAAAATTGCTATGAATACTATGGCTTATCTTCGGAAGCACTCAGTTGCATCAATCGTTGTGTGGCATTCCGCAGTGTCAAAGAGGTGCCACATGGTGACATCAGGAACATACTGTAGTACTCTTACAAACGTCTGCTTTGTCTAGGTATTGGTGTTTATACCTTTATGGTTGCTAATGATTTTTTTTCTTTCTTAGAATACTAGAAAAAGAATTGCAAGCTCAGACAAAGAATCATGAACATGAAGTAAAACAGCTGAAGGAAGAATTGAAAAAAGTGATGAAAGACAACAATAGACAACAAGAGATTATAGGAGAGGTAATGTCAAATTAATATTAATGAAATCAGTTGCAATCAAATCAATATCAAATGTCTGTATTCAAGTCAATTGCAATCAAATCAGTTGCAGTCAAATCAGTTGCAACCAAATCAGTTGCAATTAAATCAGTGGCAACCAAATAAGTTGCAACCAAATCAGTTGCAATCAAATCAGGGGTAACCAATCAGTTGCTATCAAATCAGTTGCAACCAAATCAGTTGCAACCAAATTGGTTGCAACCAAATCAGTTGCAATTAAACCAGTATCATATCATTTTCAAAAAAGCCAATATTGAAATCATTATCATTATCAATAATTTCTACACTTTTCCTTGCCATGAATATTGCATTCATTTAGTAAGTTACATATAATTGTACTTTATAAATAGCTGTTGAAAGTGAATTTTGCTGAATTTGTTTTTGGTTTCAGAATTTGAAATTAAAACCAGAGGATCGTGTGAATGCCATTGCACAACATGAGATAACCAGATTGACGACAGAAAACATGGTAAGTATAATTAGGTGACTAACTCAACTGACCTAAGTGATCTGTTTATTAATATTCCCTCTTACTCTGGGTTAATTTAGTATGTGACACACATGCTAAACTGTGAGGGAGTAAGAATATGTCATTGCAGTTAAAATTAGATTTAGACAAAGAAAGTTTTTTTGGCTGATGAGCAAATTTTGTAACTCTAGCCCTCAACTCCTGTAGCACATTTTCATTTGAGCCATAAAGAATTATAGTGCAGTATCTAATATACAGATACATTACTTTATAATTTATAATCTATTGTTGGTTTAATTACTTTATTATTGTTTTAATATCAATTTACCAATCTAACTTATCGTTTTAACATTAATATTTTATAGATATCTCCTTTAACATACAAGTAATTAATTCTTGTAATTTAACACTAAATATTGTTATGTGACAACTCTGGCAAGATAGCTTGAAACTAGAATTGGACATGCTCAAATACTAAATCTATTGTGTTGTAGGAAACAACTTAACCATTTCTTTATTTATTAATTAATAGCAATTTGAGGATTTTTATTGGTAGTTATAGTGACCATAAGGAGGTATAAAAAGTGTAAAGGTTTTTGCAAGCACCTTGAATTTTTCGTAAGTTTGCTTGCGGCCCTCAGTTTTAAATCAAAATTTCAGTTGGCCCTCATATCCATTTATATGCACATTCCAGATTCAAATTCAAATGTTCTTTACTGGCAATTTCATAAACAAAATTGAAGAGTAAATTTTTTTTTTAATCAGTACAAGAAAAAGCACAACACAGAAACAAATTAAACCTTCAAAGCTAAAAATTGGAAAGTTATGAAATTCACAATTTTTTTTAAAACGTTAATGTAAGATTAAAAATATAAAATCCATAAAATTAAAATTAAAATTTAAGCAAACAAGGAATTATTAAGATAATAAAAATATTCACTGAAATTAAATAGATTGTTTTTCAAGTTTAAAAATTCTGATGTCTTAACTTTTTAACATGGAAATCAAAAAAAAATTTTATATTGGACATCCGGCACATGCTTTTGCCAGAGTAGGTCACATATAATATCTGTGTAGTCTAAATTTACTCACAAAAATAAACATGTAGAATATATATAAGACGTGTAGTAGATATACCTAATCTGCATGATATAATAATATATCTTTAATTTGATTTGTTTTCCTCTGTAGCACATGCGTCTTTGTGTTAGGGAGAATTTGGTATGATGTATTATAAATTATTGTATTGTTTTAACATGTGGAGTAAAAGTTGTATATACCTCATTTTGTCGCTACAAAGAAAATTGGCACCAATTTCATATTTTGGATGAACAAATCAGATTTTGTTATAACATTTATTCAGTAAAAATGGTGTGCTCTGAAATCAGAATTGTATACCCAAAATTAAAAGGCAACAATATGCTTAGTAACTTCAACTATTGATAGTTTCAATCCAAAAGTAATTAGAAGGAGATTGGCAGTCTACTTTATGTAAACTGACATAAGCATAATTTACCTGATTTTAAAATGCAATCTGATGTTTCTACTACACAGATTATGACTTTAAATCAATCTGTTAATTTCCCAAATAAAATACAAAATTTCTGTTATAGAGCAATTTTTAAATGTTTTTTTTTTCACCATTTTACCTTTAGTGTTTCCCTATAACCATTGCAAAATGTTCTACTTAAAAAAAACACAATTGTTAATTCTTCTCTAACCATTCCAGTATCACCATCATCATCATCATCATTATCATCATCATCATTGTTTCCAGTATTTTTTTGCTTGTTTTAACCATTGTTGTTAACCAACCATAGCAAAGACAAGTATATCAAAATCAAAATTAATACAAAGAAAATATGGACTGGCTAGCAATTTCTTTACTGCAATCTACTAAACAATTATTTTTTTACACTGTTGTTATAAATCGTATTTATTATTAATAATATAGTTGTTGAATATTTTGTGTAAATATAGTTGTAATGTTTAACTTAGCTGTTCTTGATATGATTGTAAAACTACTAAAAATGTTCAGTTTATTTAAAGTGCACTTAAAACTATGGTGTGATCCTCACATTATGTTGCCTACTTGTTAACGTGCCTGTATGTACTAGCGTTAGTCGCAGCAGTCTAAATATACATGTTTAATTCATAAATGTAATGTCACAACAGATGAGAGCGTCATAAACTTTGTGTACAGATAGTTATTGTGATCGTTGTGAAAATAATTTTTCAAAAGGGCAGCTCTGTTAAGGAAAGTGTTCTAACTTCAGTTTAAGGGGGAAAAAAATTATTTAATGCTTGATTATTAACTGGATAAAATGAAAAGAAATTCAATAAATGTAAAATGGATTTAGAAGACAGATAGTTAGGAGCAGTGCCGAGACTGAAATTCGGTTCCTAATTATTTGAACGTTGCTAACAATAAACTCAAGGAACACTTTCTCTGTGCATTCTAAATGCTATACATGTTTATCTTTTATAATTTTTTTAATAGTTAAATGAAGTTTTGACAATTTGTTAAAATGAATATCTTGAAATTCTTTTTTTTTAAATATTTTAAATTAACATTATTATTTATTAAATGCTATTGATTAAATATCTGATCATTAATATAAATATTCGATGTACAATAATTCTTCTGGCTTCTGTATCATATTGAATGTAATTCTTGTAATTTAGCATTTATCTAGGTATTCAAATAGTTTTTCCCACCTTTTTTTAGTTTTTTCACCTCTATCCATGTTAATCAGTATTTTGATTGTAAAATCAGTCAATCAATTCTATTTTTAACATTTAAATGCTATAATCTATTATCATTATATACAAACATTTTATTTGATATATAAATTTATTGTTCGATGACTTATTGATTTAAGGATTTGATGGAACAAAATGAATATCTTGAAAAGAATGTTAAGAAATTGAAGAAACAGTTGAAAGCAGCTCACAAAAAACTCACGTCAGTCGGTGAACTAGGTATGTTGTTGCAGAGTATTGGTTAATTTTTATGATAAATATACGATTATAATCATAATTTGTTCATTCAGAAACCTGTGATGTGTTCCAGTGTTTACTATCTCGTGACAATACAAAAGATTTATAATCATAACGTGCAGTGTGTAACATAGAAAACTGCCAAAAAATACAACATATTTGTCAGTCTTCTCCCTAAATGACAATTAATTTTGATTCTGAATTGTTATTTTGTAGCTCCTAGTATTACGCCTACAACAGACTCTCCGGTGGCATTACTGCCCAATCATCATGAAGGCACACCAAACCACGGTCCAGCTGTACGGCATAAAGAACGGGATCTAATGGGAATTATAGAGTACAGTCCCGATGATGAGCCTCGGTTGATCAAGAGCATTATTCTTGGTAAATGCGTAACCACTGTACTCAATACTATTGTGTGTAAATACTGCAGAACCGTCCTTTGGGGCACTATTAGGGGAATACCCCTTATCCTAATAAAGAGACACTTTTCTGGTCCCAAAGTTATCACCATAATAGTGGTTCAACTGTAATTATACAGTAATATACATATCTTATAGACAAGAAAACAACTGTTTGGTGTACACCATTAATGCTTAAGCTACTAAATTTGATAGTCTAAAAAGCAGAACTATTTGACCAGAGCAACTCATCTAGGGGTGTATCCAGAATGTTTCAAATATGGGATGGGGAGCACAACATTTTCAGTATAGATAAGTAAGTAGCACTTATTTCAATACATAGCATTGATATGCATTGAAATTTTAAAATTTAGTGGCAAAACGGGGGTGGGGGAATGTGCTCCCCGTTCCCCGTGCCCCCTACTGGATCCGCACCTGCATACTGTCAACTTAAAAGAGGTTGACAATGGAGAAAGCATGTTGTCCCAGTTAACTTTTCTCTGCATCGATAGATTATCTTATAGGATGCACTAATGGAGCTCTAACATTTTCATTCAATTTTTATTTTTACTTTGTAGACTTTAGGCCTAAGATGAATGATGGGTATTTGCCTGGTCTGCCAGCATACATCATTTTCATGTGCATCCGCCATGCTGATTATACAAACAATGATCAAAAGATTAAAACTTTACTTACTGGTGTCATTAATAGCATCAAGAAAACAGTAAAGGTAAGATGTGTAGTCTGTAAATTGTATACTTCATTCATCACCTGATAATGCAGAATATAATATATGTATGCAGACTCATTAATTGTGTCTTATGTGGTAGACAAACATAGTACACACTTGATGGACCCTTCGGTTTGTTATACCCGAGAGTCATACTAGGTTCTGGTTCTTACCCGTGTCCTCACCTGTTCCACATGCCTGTTTCTCACATCTGGTCCACACACTTAGTTCACATATCTGGACCACTCACGTTGTTCTCACACCTGTTCCATATACCAGGTTTTCACCCCAGTTCCATGTACCTGCCTCTCATACCTTGTCCACACATTTGGTTCGCTCAAGTGGCCCTCACACTCGGTTGTCAAACCTGGTGCATAAACTTGGTTCTCACAACCGGTCCACAATGTCCTCACACCTTCTCCACATGTGGTCCACATACCTGGTTATCACACCTTGCCAACACATCTAGTTCTTACACAAGATTCACATATACCTGATCCACATACCTGTTACCCTATAACTTGGTTTCCACACCTGGGCTGCACACATGGTCATCACACATTGTTCGCATACTTACAAATTTTCTTTACAACAAATCATTTTCAACTAAAATTGTATGTAAAAGTTCATCTCAGTGTGCTGCCCTTTTGGCCTGTAGATCATTATGTACATTTGTTCCCACACCAGCAAATTTCCTGTTTACTTATAATATTCATGTATAAACTTGTTTTTAATAGAAACATTTTGAGGAGTTCGAGTATGTGTCATTCTGGTTGACCAATACATGTCGTCTACTACACAATCTTAAGCAGTACAGTGGAGAAGAGGTAATAGGCAGTGTCTGTTTTATAAACCATACATAATTTCAAACATGTTTTCAAAAAAATAATTATACTCATTTAAATAATTTGTTATTTTTACTTTTTAAAGATAACCACACAATTTCTATTAAATCTTTGCTATTTGTGTATGTTAGAAAAATTATAACATTTACATGTATGACCAAATCATAAGTTCCGTATGTGCCTGTTTGATCCTGATTTTGCATTGTGGTCACTTGATAATTATGAGATCCCTTGCAATAATATTTTATATTACAATCTTTTAATATTACATTTTTCTAAATGATATCTATTATATCTTTTGTGTTGTTTTCTGTGTGTTGAGTGCTGCCATGATAGTGTATGTATGTGTATGTATGTATATGTATGTATATGCATATGTGTATATATATATATATATATATATATATATATTTATTTTGTGTTTATATTTTGGATTTCTATATATTTTTAACTGGTGGCCACGGCTTAAAGTTTTATTCTAAACTTATTTTGGCCTCCTTCCACACACTTATTCTGTAATGTACTATTATTCTTAGTTGGTTTTACTATTAAGCTTTTGTTATGTATGTTAATATGTTCATGTGTGTGGAGAAATAAATTAAACAAACAAACAAACAAATAGTGGCACTTTTGTGTACTTTTTGTTATCCTGGGTTGGCAGCACTCTTTGTTTTTGTTTCTGTTTTTATTGTCTTTTAATTGTAATTTTGATTGTAATTTTAACCCGAAATAAATTTGAATTTGAATTTAGATGTTTTTAGTACAAAATTTCTATTACATATAATTACATTTTGCCTTTTGTGTCTTAAGCTGGGCAAACACTGCATCGGTGACCGTAGTGCGACAAATCCCTTTCCATTGTTACGTTGTCTGCTGTTTTTAGGAATATAAGTACTAAAATTTTAATTTTTCTATCTTTTGTTCCTAGAACTTTTCTGCACAAAACTCAGATTTCCAGAATGAACACTGTCTTCGTAACTTTGATCTGTCTGAGTATCGGCGTGTAATGAACGACTTGGCCGTACATATCTATCAAATGCTAGTCAGAATCATTGAGAACCAGGTCCAGCAAATGATAGGTAAAGCTAAACAAAATTTTATTACATCTTGATGGAACTTTTTAATTAATAAATGTTAAACCATTTCTGTGTATTTTCCATTGTGAAAACAAGTGTATAGAAAGTAGATTTGCACACTGGTGAAATAATCTCTATTGATCCTGCAAGAAAGTGTGCAGCCTAGGATAGGGTAATTCGTGGCCAAATACAACACACCCCCTTACATGTTCCATACATATGTGTATTCTTGCTATGGCTGCTCATGGGAGAATGTACCTTTTTGCTATGTCAATCAAACAGAAAAACTGACCAATCAGAGCCTTTCACAAACACACATATTTGCATAATGTTTGCATTGTTGTTTTGTAGGACCTCAGCAACATTATCCAAGGAATGGGGTTTCGCAGAAGGGTCCATTCTCTGATTCAAAACAAATTTTAATTGTTTTTTCTAGTTCCTGCTATGCTGGAGAGTGATAGTGCTGGATTGACTGCCAATAAACCTACAGGAATGAGAGGCAGAAGCTCTAGCAGTGTCAACAATCCGCAGCAAGAAATGAGGAACGTCTCCATCGAGTCCATCATTAAACAGGTGCGATTCAAGCCACACTCAATTAAATAGATCAGTTTGAACACAGAATAATACATGAAGGGCTTTAGTTTTGACTGAACTTTTTAACTTGACATTTAATCTGTCAATTCAATTCATTTTATTCAGTCTATTATAAATTAATATAACAGAAATGTGCTTTGAAGCTAAGCGATCAAACATACATAGTTAAAAACAGACTTTAAACTTCAAAATGTTCCAAACAGAACAGTAAAAAACATTAAAACGATATATTATTAAAACATTAAAATACAGTAAAACGTATTAAGGGATATTAATAAAACATTAAAAAATATTATTAAAACATTAAAATATATTATTAAAAAATTAAAAGACAGTCAAAAGTATTAAGATATATTATTAAAACACTGTACGATGATAAAATACAAAGAATGATCTATTCATTTTTGTTTTGTTTGATTTAATGAATTTATTTTTACAGTTTAAGAAATTACATGTTTTTAAAAATCACATTACTAACATATCTTCAAACATCATGGCAAATATAGGAAAATGGATGAAACAAGAACAATTTGAGAAAATCTCACTTTAACTGTGGAACTAGTGATACAAGCACTCTATAAAACAAACATTACACAAACAGTACTAAACATTGCTGTACAGTATGATTTAAAATGTTGTTTTTATTTCAGTTGTCAATTTACTTGGCTGTAATGAATTCCCACGGTGTGGACCCTCAATTGATCCGGCAAGTTATGAAACAGGTAACGCTATAATCGCTAATTCATATAAGATATTCAAAACTTTAATATGATATGGTGACAAAATATTTTTATTATATTATGGAATAATGCCTGACCTGTTTTTTTTTTGTTTTTTTTGTGATGTAGACTTTCTACCTTGTGACCTCGACAACCATTAACAATCTGTTATTACGGAAAGAGATGTGTCATTGGTCAAAGGGTGTGCAGATCCGCTACAACTTGAGTGAGTTAGAAGAATGGCTACGAACAAACAACATGTTTGACCAGGGCATGGAAAACATACTGGAACCACTTGTACAGATAGCACAGTTGTTACAAGTCAAGAAACGCACCGATGACGACGTCAAGCTGATATGCGATACATGTAGTATGCTTACCACTACTCAGGTATAGTTATATTTTAATTGTTTCGTCCCAAATAAGTTGATTCTGAGAGAATGTGTACTATTTTGCTATTGATCTGCATAAATCATCCCAGATGGAACTACTGTATTGACAAGCAGCTCCAAATGCACCACTAGTGTATTAGTTGCTGCCAGCATAGGTTTTAATCTTTAAAAGCCTGGACCTGACTTTTTCAGGTGTAAATGCATTCCATTAGGAAATTTAGGATTCATTCCTGTCTCACACTCATCTTCCCCATCCCTTCCTGGAAAAAAAAAAATATTGTTCTTAAATGTTTTTGTAATGAAACAAATTAATTTCATGAACATGAACTCGTTTTAATCCTAATTTGATTAATTTGTAACTATGTACATTTTTTAATTTTTGTAAGTTGATTTAAGTTTTTTTTTATGTAGTTATATTATATCTATAAAAATATAAAAAGGACGTGTGTAATTAAATGCCTGCAGTTACGAATACATAATTTAAGATGTTTTTTTATTTGGTAGATTGTGAAAATCCTGAGTCTATACACGCCAGATGAGTACGAGTCAAGGACAGAAATGTCTTTCATTCGCAAAGTTCAGCACCGCTTAAAGAACCGTTCGGACATGAAACGTGAAGCTCAACTGTTGATTGATTCCAGACACCAAATTCCTGTTACATTTCCATACAATCCCTCATCTGTACTTCTTAATGAAATTCAAATTCCTGCCACATTCAATATAAACTATGTTCAGTGTATATAATGTGGATTACAAATAAGATGCCAATTGTCTGTTTTGTTATAATAATTATATTTTATCAGTAATAGTTGAATATTAATATATTTATGGTGATGGATATATGATAACAAAATGGTCAATGTTAATATTCATAGTTTAATAATACAGTAGGTCTAAATATAGCAATGTATGTTGCGTGAAAAACTAAATAATTCTGTAGTAATGTGTTGTTGATGAAGTTAAAGATGTTGATAGATATTTGTTTGGGTTGGTCCAGTAACTGTGCTCTGCATTGTTGTCAGATCCGTTGAGCGAAATCCCTCTCAGCTGAGTATCGCAATTTTGCCAGTTGAAATGAGTGATATTCCTGACAAATGAGTTCCACATTTGTGCATAATCAATTAAGCAATGTCATTGCCTTTGTTGAACATTATACATATCGTAACCTCAAGTGTTTCATAATTTTTCAGTCATATCAATTTGTATTATTAAAATTTGTGCTTAACAACTATAAATTAACATTAATAAATTTTTGGTCTCGTTGAAGAGATAATTAAATGATCAGACAAAAATGAATCATGTTCAACCAAATTTGTTTCTGTTTTTTAATTTGACAGTTGCATATGCTAGAAATATTAATGTATGCATAGTATTTGAATAATAATATTACACAATTAGATTTAGTTGAAAGATTATCAAAATCCAAAATTACCTGTTATGAACTGTAATGAATTCTTGAAGTGTAAACCCTCATTTTGTTAAGTTATGTAACACTATCATTAATAATTTATATAAGATATATATATAATATATAAAATAAATTTCCTAATGTTGAGGTATAGAAAGATAATTCTTGTGTATTGTTTGACCAAAAATTTTACTTTAGGTTTCTATGCATTTTTGAAAATGTACATATATAATATGATTTATTTTCATTAGTAATGTTCAGGAGTTTCCAATTACACAGGTATTAGTGAATTACCAATAAACCAATTCATGTTTCAACTTTGCATGCTCATATTAAGGTCAGTCCCCATAAAGAACATGCACACATTGCACACAACATAGGTTTATATTGATTGACCTTGGAAATGGGTATGTGCAGTTCAAACTATAAATTGGCTTATACAGATGTTAATGAAATACCTATATACAGGTGTCCATTTCCCTGTATACAGGTACTCATTAGTTATCTGTATACAGGTATACATAATTTAACCCATCTGGATCATCTTTATGTATATTTCCTGTGTTTTGTTTTACCTCGATAGTGAATTCCATATTTAAGATTTTATATTAAAATGGGCTTATGTAAATGTTATGTTATACTATTATTAATCATTCTGATAGAAGTTTTTTTTTAAGTTGCACTATGATAAATTTCCCATTATTGGTTTTAAAAGAACAATGTATAACTTTTATTTCCTAAGATTGATAAAACTGTCGTTTTCTTTGGCATATCATGCTCAGAGTTTGTGGCATATTCTGGCTGTTTTAAATTTAACGAAATCGTGTAGATATTGTTGAAATATTTGGGCTAAACAGAAGCTACCCTAAAATCGCATTATCCAAATTGCTATTTTTTTGTGATATAATATATGTATATGTATTAGTATTTATGATGTATTCACTAATGATCTGGTAGAAACAGAAGTTAGAATAGTCACTTAAATTATCAGTCCCACTGAAGATGCTAAATGACAGGAAAAATATATGTATATTTAAGTGAAATAAGAGTATAAACTTAAATAAACACTGCCCTCATGTAATTTTGTATGGATGTATGTCATATGTAGTTAAATGATATGGAGTTGCCCAGTCAAGATATATACCCACCCCTCCCTTCAAAAAGAAAAGCAATAAACTGTAAGGGCATATTATATTGTCAAGGCCTTCAAATGATATACCAAATGGTTTAGTATCCCTACTTTGAAAATAGTACATACTAATATATTAACATAATTTTTTATGATTATCTTCATGATTGACACCTCATCCACTGCTTCATGCAGTTTCCCATCTTGTTATTCCATATTTTGTATCATCTGAATTGTTTAGCACAACTGAAATATTTTCGCAATTCGATATTCCATGCTCCAGAGTTACTTTACATACATGCAATATTATTACTATTAGATGATCCGAACACTCCCAACTCCTGAGTTTATCCCTTGTACCAGGAGTATTCCTGTTAAACTAGGGTGTTCTCATTACCTGATTTTCCCTTATAGTTGAGATATTCGAAACACCTTGAATATTTGGCATACCTTCGGCTCGTATCTGCACAACTGGGGATATTCCAAACCTCCTAAATTTTTCCACGCACTTTTAATTAGATTAGATTTCAAGTGATAGATTAAACACTCGGGATATTTATCACACAAAACCCAATCTAATATTCTTCATATCAAAGACATTTTCTTAGGTTATTCAGTTCCAAATGTTAGCACGTCTGTTAAGCATCTTTGTGATAATGATGTTAGTCTTCCAAACAAGTACAGGTGTTACATTGAATATTATATATTTGTGCAAGTTATTCAACATGTCATGTAGCTTTCTCCAATTAAAATGACCAGTCAATTTGCTTTGCCATATATGGTATGTGTATTCAATTAGTGATGCGTACGGCATCATCATGGTATTTATTATGCAAGGATAAAAAATATATGTTTACTAATGTACACAAAGAAGGTTAAATAAATTCAGTAAATGGATAGGACTATTCTACTGTTTATTGTGTGTTATTGTTTGTACTGTATATACATCAGTGAGTATAAAAAAAAATATAATTTCAAATTTTGATAATCTTGGTTGATTTAATTTGATTATGATTATGTGAGGATGATGATGGTTATGAGTATGAATACAGTATAATGATGATTTTGATTATCATGATGATAATGATTATGTCAATGATAATGACAATAGTGTTGTGGCACCAGCAGCCAAAACAATGATATGGACCTGGCCTAAATTGTTTTTGCTATATTTTAATAAATTTGTGTTCCACAAGTCAATCTTCAATGATTGTACATCGTTTTTTCATTGTTTTTACATTTTATTTTACTTGGAGCCTACATGCAAATCCACTCTTACAGTACAAAATAGACTTGAAATATATCAACTACTTATTAAAATTTACACTAAAAATATGTAAATAATGCTTAACTTTGAAAAAAAGAAAATATATGGTTATGTAATTTTAACTGTGTAGTTATTTCACATGTACAACATTTCGCACTGCTTCCAACTCGGATTGCTTTTAATATCTTTGATAACTTATATAATTAAAACTTAAAATGCCTTCCAATCTTGAATCCCACCTTGAATTTTTTTTTTTTTTTTTTTTTTTTTTCTTTTTAATAATTAATAGCAATAACGTCCTGGAAATGATTCAGTCATTTTGTGTTTTCACTTACCTTTTAGATTCTTCTTATTTTTTTTCTTGTTCTCCGATTCATTGTTTTCGGGTTTCTTCTAAGCATGTTCTTGTAATGATCCATTTTCTACAAATTATAAATCAATAATAATTCGAACCAAAAAAGTGAAAGGTGGTCAAAAACTGTAAAAAACTTATTGAGCAGAATGGTGGCGCCCTTGATTGCATAATTATTGTTTTGGCCGTTTGCGCACGTACATGATAGTCAACAAAGATTTAAAATAATTGTTTGTACCTTGCGTTTAGCTACATTTATCATTAAGGAAATGTCAGCATTTACCCACTATCTCAAGACGACGGGATGCAAACAGTATAAGGAAGCAAGGCATTTGGCTGAGGAGGTTTGTCATTGACGAGGCCTAAGCCTAGGTAGACCAGAGGCCAGGCTAGGACTGGACTAGCCTGGGCCTATTCTAGGCTAGGCGGACAAGGCCTGTCTGTGACAGGCCTAGCCTAGAGTAGAGAGGGCTGGCCTCTAGGCCTCTTGTTCACCCTAGAAATAGGCCTAGGTTACGGCCTGGGCGGCCTATCTGGATAAGATAGGCCTACCTTATTTTGGTGGTATTTTTTTAAGCAAATAAATTACGCTCATGAGCCATGTAGTTAAAAACTACGCTGTGGCTAGAGATACGCCACGCATATATCTACTACCACTTTCTGAAGGTACGGTAAATGGCATTACGTCACCCTGACCCAGTGAAGTGCCAAAATGTGTGTGACCTCATCTTTCAAGACCGGCATTGTCATTGCAGATCGCCCACAGTGTGAGCGGTGTGATTTGACTAGCGAACAATAATGTACAGTACTGGATAAGCACATGATTAGCTAGTATTTTTCTTATAATTAATACTGTCATCGATAAATAGGCTATTCAGTAAAAAGAGTCATGTCATTTATCTATAGCCATATCAAGCAATGTCTGAATCCTCAGGACAAAACTTTTGGCCCAGGCCTTGCTAAGTAAGCCTCTTCGCTTTATACGAGAGTTGACATACTAGTTACTACTCAGTCTTTGGTCTAATCTATTGACGTGACAAAACTTGCACTAAAAAACTGAATATACTGTAAACTGTAATAAGAGGATTCATGCAGGTCTAGCACTTTATCTACTGTAGTACTGTTTTAAATGGGTCTTTAAAGTGATTGGGGAAACATTCCCTTGATCGATAGATTCTGGTCGAACGATGTTTACGAATGGGGAATAATAGTGACGAAGTCCATGTAAAGTTGGGTAAATGTATTAAATGTGTATTCAATTTCAAAAGCGTTTTTTGGTCAAGATTGTAAAACGTGGTAATTTTGAGTATATTCAGTATTATAACCTAGGCTTCTTGGACTAAACTTGGGATGAGATTTTGTGGGTTGAGAACTAAAGATGTATGACCATGGATTATGACTGATGTCACCCAGATCGATTCATCACTACAGCAGGGCGGCTGCCAAACAAAGAATCTAGGCAAGGCCTAGGCCTTGCTTAGGTTCTTGGCGAAGTGAAGAATTTAAGCAAGGACTAGAGGCCTATGCCAAGAGTTTGGTGCAGGATTCAGTTCCTTGTTTGATGTGTTATATATATAAATGACATGACTCTTACTGAGTGGAACCATATGCCTATTTATCGATGACAGTACTATAAATACAGTAATGTACTTTTTAATGTTCTAATTTTCCAGTAATAGCTCATCGTCATGAGTGATGAGCAATGCCAGTCTTGAAGGATGACGTCACACACATTCTAAAGTAAAGATATTATTTAGAAAATGATAATTTTTCCATTTTTTTATTTTTGTAATTAATTATTTTAGGCCGAAGGCCAAGGATATTCCAAGGAGGGAAATTTATCACTATTCAAAGTGGCATATCCCTTCACAAGACAAACACAAGATGCATAGAAGTCTCATTATAAAGCTTAGGAAGTAGAGTTGTTTTGGTTGTGAGAAAAAAATCCTGCTATACCCTCACAGGAATCGAACCAAAGACCCTGGGAATGGAAGGCAAGCATCTTAACCACCACTACTCAACTCCACTCCATTAATTTGGAATCAAACATAAAAGCAATGTTTGTTTTAATTGATCCCAAAACAGGACATTAAATAATTAGAATAAAATACTAAACATCAATACAGTAAAGGAAATGGAGTGTTTGATTTATTTTGATAAGGATTTTGGATATTTTTTTTTCTCTTGCAGTTATCACAACATGATGCCGAGACTGAGCCTTTCAAATCCAAGTACAAGGCTCGAGAGATTCTTGTTGATCTTAAGAAGAATTTGAATAAATACTCAGAAGAAGTGGATTCTGAAGGATGTGAAGGTAGGCAATGTCTGGAAGTCATAATAATGCCTTTTGGGAGTCAGTAGATGTTCCACTTTAGTTTTTCATCATTGATTAATTCTTGATATCAGCATTTGCAATATAATACATTCTTACTTATGCCTTACTACTACAATCCAAAGTATAAGGCCATCACTAATCTCCATTTTATGCAATTTTGGTTACATTATTTATATTGTGTTAGCAGATGTTTGCCTTTGCATCACTGAGTCCTAGCTTAAATTTTACTAAAATTCAAATATCTTGGTAAAGTTATTAAAAAAATCCACTCCTTAAGCCTCATATTAAGACTTAATTAAGCCATCTAAAGCATCAGTTTTCACCCTTGAACTGAGAAATAACTTGTTGAGTTTAATAAGAACGAAATAAATATGAACTGAAAAAGCATTTCGCTACCTAATCATGACAGCTGTAGCTTAATGATAAATGATGTTTATTTTTATTTAAAAATCAAACTTGATGGATTCTTTCAGGAAGCTCAGGAATTGTATAATAAATACAAACATGAAGTTGATAGAGCCCCAGTCTACATCCATGAGTAAGTAGACTTAAGGAAAATTGAAACTTCTTTCCTTCACAAACCATTAGGACGTGCACTAAGTACAAAAAAAAATTGACAAGAGTATTTATACAAGGGTACAAGTGTAACAAAAATGTAGATTAGTGCATGAAGGAATTAGTTTAGAAGAGCTATTTATCAGTGTGAGAAACAGGTTTGTGACAGGAAATGCAAGTAAATAATTAATTACCTAACTAGAGAAACTAAATAATTCTTTGGATGTTTCAACCTGTCAAAATAACCAGTGGGTATGCACCTTGTTGCATTATGGATATTTGAGGACAGTACCAGTAAATGTCTTTCCTTAACCTACTTCCAAAAAGCGGTTATTATGCACACTTTGTGCCGTAGAGATAAATAGGGATTGGTTAGGAAAAAATTTTGTTGTTCTAATTATTAATTGGATGCCATTAAACTTGGTTAAATAAACAAACTATGCAAATTAAAAATTAAATTTTATACTTTAATTTTGTTAACTCAATGCAGGCTGTATATTCTTTAAATATCAAAAAATGTAATTTTATAATTAGATTGTTTGGAATATAAAAAATATAGAATATTTGTTTTATATTGATCTGATTTTTGTAGGCTGTTGGAGAAAGACTGTGAAGAAAAGGATGATCACGAACGATGGCAGGAATTCGAGAAACTCTACACTCATACGTTGTACTATTTAGCTCAAGTGTATGGTGGTCTTAAAGAAAATCACAAGGTACCATCATCATTATCGTTATTAATTATTTATATTTTTTACATCATTATCATCATCATTTAATATATTATATTTTTTATTAAATTATTTATTGTCTATTATTTTTTTATTTAAGTTTAAGATGATTTTTAAGTAATAGTAATATCAAAGAGTAAAGAGTTGTAAGAGGTCTGACTGTCCTCATTTCGTATGCACACATTGAAACATTTTAAAAAAGTACTACTAGGGGGCACCCTATCAGAATTTGAAAAGTGTTCACTCGAAACTCTTTTAAAGGACATGCCCATTCGTGGTAGTACATTTTGAAATAGGATTACGTTCCAGTGTAACCACGAGAGTCGTAACTTTTGCGGTTATATACTCTTTGGTAATATTTTATTTTTAAGTCTGCAAGTTACTGCCAAACTACTCTGCAAAGACAACTTCAGTACGATCAGTATGAACCTTTGGAATGGGCTTTGAACTGTGCAACGCTATCACAATATTACATTACGGAGAGTAGATACACTCAAGCAAGGCATTGTCTTGGTAAGTATATTTGTTTACTTTCTTTGCGTCCCGCTTTTTTCAATTGTCCATTGGAAGACGTCATATTTTGGCAATACTCTTTGTGTTTCCTTCTAGAGTTGAAAGGCTCAAAACAACAACAGTATGTAGGAACACCTTTACTCTTTATATACCATATTTATTTGAATAAACACCCCATTTATACTATTAAACGCATTTTTCTCCCATTCGTTTTTCTTTTCCAGCAAGTGCCTCTTTTATATTTTCTTTACATAAGGATAAAGGCGAAAGGAAAGCAGATGAAGGTGAAGAGGAGAGGAGATTGGAGGATATTGCAAATCGTGAGGCTGACCTTGCTAGATGTTGGACTAAGTACTGTATATCACTACTTGAAGACTCTATAGTATACTCTAAGTATGTTTCAATTTCCCATAATGATAATGGTTAATGTTATTGGTTAGGTTCACACTAGAGCCCTGTTATCCAGATTGGGAGCTAACTGTTAGCGCTATCCACTAGCACCTGTGCGATCAGATAGTGCTAACTGTTACCAGGATCTTGATATGCTAACGGCTATGGAGCGCTATCGGTTAGCAACTGGAGCGTGTTTCTATCATTAACCAATCACAGGTACGCATTTCCAGTTTCCTATTGACTAGTGATCCTACCGTCATCTTCTTGATATCTGTATCAGGGATTTTCGTTTATGAACTCAAGGGTGAGCGCGTATATTATTTATCTGGATCCTGCTAACCGTTGGTTGGTAGGCTGGTGTGTATGAACGAAGCCATTAATTGCTAAGATAGAACTTTGTCATATAAAGTTTAATAGAATGATAGATACTAAAAGAAATATGCAGATATATTAACATGTAATTTTCGGTTTGCTTAAAAAGGGAGAAATTGTCAGCAGACACTAGTGGACATGATAAGGAAGAAGACAAAGACACTGATGAAAACGATAAACATCAACCAAGATTTGAAAGTTTAGAGTTGACATCCCTAGAAATGCAAGTCACTGATAAATATGTAACTGTATTTGAGGAGGTAAGCATTAAATATTTAACCTACCAACATGTTTTTACTTTTAAAAATATTTCAGATTATATTTTGAGTTTGCTTCAGGAAAATGTCATAAGAGTAATGTTTTGCCCTATTTGATGTATTTATGCATTATGCCAGGCTAGTTATCTAGAAGTTGTGGGTGGGGTCACTTGCAAGTTTTTTTTTGCAAGTATTTGGGAACCAACTGAGTATTCTGTATTTAGAGTTACTTTATTTTATTTATTTATTACCATTTTTAAAGAGGGTGACCTATCCGGTTCCAGAAGGAACTGATCATTAAGGGCCCTCAATAAAGCATACATACATACAATAAAACATGTAAAAAATTTAAAAGACAGATAAAAGTTAAAAGGCCTAAATAGGACCAATTGGGTTATTTCAAAGATACTAGAAATACAAGATAGAGTTCTCCACAGAAAAAAAGTGTTCCACCGAAATGCATGGTGGGAATACAAACAATGGAGGTAGACATTGTTGCCACCTATAAGATACAAACAAGTAGGCAAAAATAAATCAAAAGAATGAAATAACAGACACAAAAGTGTAGAATCGACCGGACTGTGATTAGTGATAAAGTTTCCATCATTAGCGGATATTAGCGGAAAGCGAAGGGCGCCGTGTACGTCTGAATTTACTTAGCAACAGAAGGGCGCCCTGTACATCTGGATGTGAACTGGATAAACGTGTGTAAATTGCTATATTGAAAACTGAAGGGCGCCGCTTACGACTGGATTTGCATAAAAGATGTGATGTATATCCGCCACACTTTTGCTATGCTAGTGCTCTATCTTGTATTTCTAGTATCTTGGGTTATTTTACTTATAATACTAAATATTACTTTCATACAGATAGTTTTCGGTATCATTTATGCTCACACCTTAAATGATATAGTATGTGAGTGATTTGTACCATTTTCATTTTTAAGTGGTTTTACAAATAACCATATTAGTGTAATTTTAGATTAATACCATATTCCATAGAATTTCACTACCATCATGGCTTTTTCAGATGACGTTTCTTTAAGCTGTATTTGTATTGCATCAGTTGTTATTTATTACAGGCCAGGGATGTGTTTCTAGCAGCTCAAAGGTGGATAGCTGAATCAAAGAAATTCTACCAAATCGATGGATTTGTATCAGAATATATAGAAATCATTAAGGTAATTGGATAGATGAGGCTTTTGATAAGAATCATTGAAGCTATTTTTTATTTATTTAATTGAATTTATATATGGAACATATCCAGAAACTTCTCGAGGCTCTTTTTTTTTTTCCCTCTGGTGATTGGATAGACACTCAATCATACACAACGTGCAACCTCCCCGCTCCCTGGGGAGTATTCCTAGTTATGCGTGTAATCAGCACTACTAATTTCATTCCGAATCATTCACCTCCTACCAGGTACCCATTTATACTCCTGAGTGAGGAGAGGCAAATGCAGAAAAAGTGTCTTGCCCAAGTACACAAGCAAGACCTTCAATTGAAAACTCAACATCTTACACGCTGCAGCACATGCTTCTAAAGCTACTGTATTTGAATGCTTCTAGTCCATGGTATCAGAGCATTGATAAGATTTTCAATAATGATTATACAGAATGTATATATGGCACAAATTCCAAGTCAGTAGCACAAGATATTATTAACCCTGTTCATTGGATCTATAATTTGGATCTATAACTGGATGAAAGGCAGCCTTCTCTCCATCTATATGCAACATAGTTAGTTTCACACAAACTGATGCATCCAATGCCGCAGCATTGTACCAGGTACCCATTTATACTTTTAGTTGGAGAAGGACAAGGACACAGACAAAATGCACTAAAGTGCTGTCCAGACTATCAAATTTTATTTGAAAAAAAACCATGTGACATGCCTAAATATGGTCATATTGACATCAAATCATATTAGGTACATCATGACTATATATGAGCATACAACAGTTTTTTGTCATATAAAAATTTAATCTGGAAAAGCTTTAGAAAAATTTGAACCTCCAGGCCACAATGCTCCAACACCTTTCGCATGTATAAATTAATACATATTAAAGTTCAGTTGTTTGGTGGTTCAGAATAATTTTATTTTAAACATAACATGTGACCATGTCAGAAATGAAGCCTGGTGGTTTACCTTCCAATTAAATTAGTAAAACAACATTTTTGTTGTATTATTTTAGTAATTTTTTGCTGAATTCTTATCATATCATACTGGCATCAGAAAGCTGGTTGATATTAATTATTTTCACTTATCTGTAATCCAGTCGGACCGCAGTGATTTCATAATTTCACACTGCTGTTAATGTTTTTATGTCTTTTTTGTGTGTATTATAAAGAAGTACTAAATAATGAAGGGGAAAAGTAATAAATTTATACATTTTGTCAGCTCTTCAATTTTATTACATCTTTTTTGTTTAGGATCACAGTATGTTATTCAAATTGTTAGCGTTTTTTGAGACTGATAGCGAGCGCAAATGCAAGATGTTTAAACGTCGAGTGGATATGCTACAGAGTGTTATCAAGCAACTAAATCCACAGCACTTCTTGCTATTGAGCAGGCAACTCATCTTTGAATGTGCAGAGACGTATAGGTAGGATGTACTATTAGTATGAATTAGTAATAATGTGATGCCAAATGAATAAATAATATGATAATCTGAGATTATAAACCCTCGCCCTGTTGCAGTATATCTATGTACAAGAAAGAAATGGCCTGTGGTCAATCCGCTTCAGTCGGCTAACCAAACGAGGCCCGTCGTGCGAGTTCGCACGCAGGCTGTACCGCTTCCAATCCGCCCGCCAGAATTTGATACATCCTCTACTCTGGCCAATGTCGGCTCGGCCTAGCCAAACGAGGCCAAATCATACACTCGATTTGGCTCTGTCACTTGCGGCCCGCACTGTATAAATAACATTCTAAAATCTGCATCGTACTTCCGCTCACCACCAAATTTGAGATCAAGGTACATGTAATATTGTCAGAGTGTGAAAATTTGAAGTAAATCAGTCCAGTGGTTTTGAAGTTATGCGCCTAGGAGGAAACACTCACACAGACAGTTGCTATTGCAATACCCTTCTCCCTCTCCTTCGGGGGTAATAATGTTAAATTTATATAGCAAATGATGCCAGAACTTCTAAGTGCTATGCATAAACAGAAAAAGGGAGAATGTGGCTTCTTAGAAAACAGTTTAGTATTAATAATCTGTTATATTTCATAATAACGTATAATAATAATAAATACATTTCAGACTATTTCACATGTTTACCACTGATCAATTGTATCATAATTGATAATGTACTCGCGTACACAATACAATTCAGAACAAAATATTTACTATGGAAATTAACAAACATTTTTTTTTTTTTTTCAGTGGAATGGTGGACCTAAAAATATGCATAGCAGAGCAGTCACAACCAACAACTCAGCATGCAGTTAAAAAGATTAACCTTCTGTGAGGACATTTTAAATTAAATATTTATCAAGCATTTATATACTGGTTGTAGAATTCTTAATTCATACTTAAATCAAATATATACATTTATATACTTATTTATATACTTTTACATTATTTATATTATATTTTGTTTAATTTTGATATTTTTTTTTCAGCATAATGCATTCCATTGGACAATATCAAGCATTTATAGGCAAGTTCATTCCTTCTATGATAAAAGTTACTATATAAGTTACAGTTTTGTTATATTGTTTCAATTCCCGTGGCAGCATGATTTTTTCTTGTGACTAAAAACAAACACCCATACTCTTAAGCCTTAATATTAGAGTTTATAAACCATAGCCCAGTATAATGTGAACAGGTTATCCAGTATAATGTGAACAGGTTACCCAGTATAATGTGAATAGATTAACCAGTAAAAATATGTAAACAGGTTAACCAGTATAATGTGAACAGTTTAACCCGTATAGTGTGAACAGGTTAACTAGTATAATGTGAACAGGTTAACCAGTATAATGTGAACAGGTTATCCAGTATAATGTGAACAGGTTATCCAGTATAATGTGAAAAGGTTACCAAGTATAGTGTGAACAGATTAACCAGTATAATGTGAACAAGTTACCCAGTATAATGTGAACAGGTTACCCAGTATAGTGTGAACAGATTAACCAGTAAAATGTGAACAGGTTAACCAGTATAATGTGAACAGTTTACACAGTATAATGTGAACAGATTAACCCGTATTATGTGAACAGGTTAACCAGTATAATGTGAACAGGTTACCCAGTATTATGTGAACAGGTTAACCAGTATAATGTGAAGAGTTTAACCAGTATAATGTGAGTAAGTTAACCAGTATAATGTGAACAGGTTACCCAGTATAATGTGAACAGATTAACCAGTATAATGTGAACATGTTACCCAGTATAATATTAACTATTCTGTGCTTCAATTGAATACTGACTTCAGTTGTTAAATTACATAGATTCATTACGCAAGCCAGATGGAACCATGCCCAATGCCTTAGAGGAAGATGTAGTTAGACCAGCTATGGTTGCACACTTTTGTATGGGAAGACTGTAAGTACCATACTAGCATAGTTCTTGTTATTTTGTTAAATTTTATTGTATAGCTGTTTGAATCTTACACCTAGGGTATGTAAATCATTTCTCTGTGCAATTATTCCTTTTATTGTATTATTAAAATACAATACAACTTAAACTAATACAGGACAAATCGGTTGATATAAAAATTATAATTATAAATTAAATAAAATAATGTAGTGGAAACTAAAGATTGACATTTTCTTTAATTAAATGCAAGTGCCATATTTCTTTAAATGTAATTTTTCCTAAATTTTTGCTTTAAAAAAATAATATAATACTTATATTACAGTAACTTATCAAAAACAATAACTTATTAAAATGACTGATTATTCATTTTCATGCATAGATGATTATGATGTTACTGATGGAGTAAAATTATGTAATTAACTTAAGTATCCCTAATAATTTTCAACTTCACAGCATTCAATTTTAACATAAATTTAATAAGTAGTATGAGCCAACCAAAATATCCAATAATTTTTAACTTTAATGTTAATATACAGTACCAATCTTTTGTTACAGATATTCTAAACTTATATCTGAATCCAGAAAAAAGATAGAGAATATGAACAGCAGGTAAGATATTGATACTAATTAATTAATCATTATTTATTTATTTATTTATTCAGGTATAAAAACATAAAAAATACAGTCAGTAGCAATGAAACAATAAATACAAACAGCCTTGACACACAAAAATTCAAACATTATCTAAAAAAATTACAATTACATATTTACAATTTAATTTAAAAAAAGAGTGTTATGCATTATCATAGAGAGTTTTGTTGGGACCTAACAACAGTAAAGTAACAAAATTGACACTAAAAAATAAGGCCGTAAACAATGCGACCTCTTTCATATTTTAATATCAATTTCTTTGTATGATTTTTCTATAGTTTGAACCAGTACAAAGCTGTGGTTGACTACTGTAAAAGCCATCCTGGAGTGGTGAAGCTAGTTGAGGTAACAACAGCAAATACATATTTACCGTATATTCTCATGTATAAGACAATGCTTAAAATAGAAAATTACGATTGAAAACCTGAGATTCGTTTTATGCGCGCAACACATGCAAAACGCGAATTTACTACTGAAATTAATTTACAACAGTTAGTGTGAATGAAAGCAATTTTTAAATATTTTTGTATTGAACATTTAAAAGCCCATAAAGTGGTATTATTTGGAAGATTAGCCCTACCTTTGACTCCGTTTTTGATGCGGTATTAAGACAAGACCATAAAAAGCAGCAAAAAGTAGGAATTCCAACGGTTTAACAGGTGGTCATCTTATACGCCCGACATACAAAAATCGTCCAAAAATCTTCACAAACTCGGTAGCCATCTTATATACAGATTGCCTTATACGCGAAAATATACTGTAGCATCTGGACAGTGACAATCTTACAGTTTTGTTGCTTTATTATTTGCACGTGTTTAGTTATCAGAACAATCCCAATCTTGTAGTTTTATATTTGTGGAAATTGAGTAGTAGTTGCCTTGCCTTTTTCTCTTTCTTTTTTAACCATATATTTTTAGAGGGTGAACCTTTAAGCATATCCTAGAAGGTTGGCTGATGTTCAGGGAGTCCTCTTAAATAAATAAAATAATGTGATTGCGCTTTATCAACTTAGAAGGCTTAGGGAGTAAAGATGTGTTTTATTTGTGAGAGAAAAGCTTGTGCTGTCACAAAAATTAACCCCAGGACCCTGGAATTGGAAGCCAGGAGTCTCCAATCTCCACTAAAAATACATTTCTTATTCCAATCCTTGATGGCAGCAACCTTTTAATTTGTTTATGTAATGTTCAATTGCAGGCCGAGTTGGAGATATGTGAAGAGATGGTTCTTCTACTTCCAGCACGTATTGACCAACTTCGCACAAACCTTGATTGAGACTTGCGCCGAACAGTTGAAAGATAGTAAAATAATCTGCTGCTATAGACGTTAAACTGAAGGTTGACATCAAATGGATGTTGTGACTGTGGTCACATGACATTCATTGACATGAACCTGCGCCTATTGCTATATGATAAATTGATGTGCGATTGTAGCTGGCACACTTAAAATGACAATACCAAGGCTCTTGGTGGGCATGCACTTTATTCATTTCTATCCTATTAGGTTGCTGTATACAAGTGACTGATTCCAGGTTACTCAAATCGGTGGTAACTAGAGTTAAAACCTGTAGAAAAAAGTGTCCCTGATGTTACATATCTTCCTGTATAACATGTACACTATTAGAGGTGTGTTTGATGAAGTCACCACATGTTTTTGGTGTATCTAATTGGATTTTAGAGAAGAATTGAATACCTTGTTTCTTCGACTATGTTGTAGCAATCAATCTTCAATTGATAGATTGACCTTCCAAAAGTTCACTTCTACACTGTCAGTTATAAGTTTATGAATATGTAGTTATGTTATCCAAGGAGGTAAAGTGTCACCGATGAATCACCAGTGGTATAATCGATGATCATTATATTCATATTGGGCACTTATTGGCACAATCTAAGTTGAGATGTATAACTGATTGAATATAGTTCTATTAGAATCAAATTCATCTTTTTTGTCAAATATCAAGTACATAAAATTATTTTCTGGGTAATATACTAAAATATCAAACCATATTCAGAAATAAATTTCAAACAAAAAGTTGGTTACATTTTCCCACAGACAGACAAATTCTGTGTTATATAACCAAATAGCACTAGGCAGAAATGAGTTTCTATGGCTGTCTGTCTTTATTCTTATATGAATAATTCTGCCTGATCTGTTGTAGGTTAAACTGCTGTTTAGAGGATGTGTTGTATCATTAATTATTCCTATAATGTTTGTCATGGCAGACTTACACAAGCGACATTTTACACAAGTGACAGATATCCTTAGCATCCATACCAATTGTCTTACAAGCAACTTGTGTAAAAACCTTGTGAGTTTAACAGGATTTTTCTTGGTCATCTCAGTCATCCAGACAATATTAATCCTGATAATAGTAATACCAATACTATAGCGTAATGTGATGAACAATTAATCACAGAATATGCTTTACCTTTTTATTAATTACCATCATCTTGCTTGTACATGTACTTATTGTTACGAGTAAATTAGTTTAATCAGGATCAGTCAAGTAAAGACTAACGGCTGTACTAAATTTTTATCGGCCGTTTTTTCCTTGTCATAGGAGTGGTTTGACGCAGCGGTTGCGGTTCTGCTTCTCAACCTAGAGGTCAGAGGTTCAATCCCTTTACTGCAGTTTGCTTGCATCCTGAGGCAAGCCACTTTACCGACAGTTGTTTCTCTCCAAGTACAAGTGGGTACCTGGTAGGTTAAAAAAATCAAAATGCGCTGATCACAGCTGCAACAATTGAATTCTCCCCAGTTATCTTCTCAGTATTTGTTCAATGTGCTTGATCCAGTGACCGTGGGTAACAGGGGTGGATCCAGAGATGTCCAAAAGGGGGGAAGGCCGAAATTTGGGCCGATCAAGACAACACTGAAATAGGAGGTCTGAAATTTCTGTGTTTTAGGCGCCCGAAAATAGCATTTGAGGCGTTCTGGGCTATCGTTTTTTCTTTTTCTTTCTTTCTGTCTTTTTTTTTTTCTTTTTTTTACCTCAAAATCCCTAAATCCGCCCCTGGGTAATAATGTGAAGCACTTAGAGGTCTCATTGGCATTAAGCGCTATATAATTTTTAACATAATTATATTATTATTATTATATTGTTAAGCTAACTAAAACATAGATAGCTCATCCTGTTCTCAAAATTTAAATATAGTGAACATCCCAGGGCCCAGTTTCTCCCTTAAAGGGCAATGACATTACCATCAAGTGTTCAACAAAATAGTATAATGAACCTTAAAGTGTTTTAAACATCATGTACTCTCAAAGCTTATTTTTTAAATTCATTTTAAAGGACATTTGAGCTTTTACTAAAACAAACATCAATAAAACTAATTTATTGTATTAAGATACCTACCTAATTTATTGTAAATTGTATTTTGTGCCTTCATTAGAACTTAGTAATATATACAGGTTTGCCTCCAGTTAAAGACCCCTCTCTAATTATTGACCACCACCAATTAAAGGACAAGTGTCCTTTTATCTTTATTATTCTCATTAGAGACCAAAGCTGCTAATGTGGGAAGTCCGGTCCCAAAATTTGTCTTTATTTGGAGGAATACCTGTATTCAGAATTATAATAATTTATTTTCAAGTTCAACAATCAAAGGAGTAAATGAAACAAATAAGTCAGATCAGTTCTGGTGTTAAGCAACTGTCCAACAAAGTTTTGGACGGTTTATCCTTACTAAGCCATTTATCCTGACTGTTAGAACTGTGGCCCATTCCCTCACTCTGTATGGTTAAGTGGCAGTGCCAGCGGAGGTCCGGGAAAACAGGGCCCCCATCGGAGAAATAGTCAATCCTCGTCGGGGACACTGTTTTCATATATAATTAGACCAGTAGCGGATTCAAGAGGTGGGGTGGGGCCAAGCTGCCCCCTCACCCCTAATTTTTCAAAATTAAAAAAGAATAATTATAATCAAATTTAGGATTGAGAGTGCCATCTCTGGCTATCAGTGCTATAATCATAAATGTCCTTAACTCAGGGTTGAAGTGATCTAGACCCTCCATCTGTGAAATTCCATCCCTAGACCCCTCTATTTCAAATTCCTAGATATGCCACTGTTAACATTGCCATT